GTTATGCTCAACTTTAGAGTTTGAAAAACGTAGAAAATGGTTGACAGCTTTAAATCTGATCGATCGGATTTGAGGTGGCACCAACATGACACTAGTCGTTCAAACGACTAAGCCACATCTGGTTGACCAAATTAGAATCCAGACCAACATGTTATCTAAGTACACACTTAAATGCAAGTCATTAGTAATAATATTTAGGACCACATTAGTTTGTTATCATCAAAATAAGAGTATGATGACTCATTAAGTCAATAAAATTATTTTACATGTAGATTCCAAATGATATAAACTTGGTTAGCTATGCATCTTGAAAGTCCTTAATACTTAGTTCTTAAAATGAATTTACTAATTTAGTGAAATGAGAAAGCAAAAACGACATTGGGAATTTCTTAATCTGGATTTTCGTTAACTGAAATGATAGCACATTGATCTGTTTATATGCTCGAGCTTACAAAGAAGAAGCAAATGAAATAACACTCTAGTAAGTAACTAGTTAGCAAAGGTGTAAAACGCACCGTTTCTCTCATGGTTAGTTATTTAACAAAGAGATTATTATTTAAGAGTGATACTACACTTATAAANTAGGGCTAATACTTCATTAAATGGTGTTAGATTAAGTGTACGTTTTTATTTCAACAAAGTTAGAATGAATGAGTCTTTGGTTGATTAAGTGAAGTCCAATAAGTACGAGCAGGGATGAGTCTTCTCCTACCAAGTTAATGTTGAGTTTGCAGTTGTAATCATTCTCCAATCTTATTGTTAGTAGCGTTGTAATCTAACACCTATTATGGTGGGGAATTGACATTAATAAAAAATCACTTTTTCTAAAAATTCGACTTCATATATATATATATATTAAAAGTTTCCTTCCATGTATACTTAACAATATAAAGCTAAAGATGAGTTCTCTTGGATAGGTTCTATATCTAATACTTTTTAATATAAGAAAAATGTTACATCCACAACCTCTTCTCACAAACCTCCTCTCACAACCTCGATGTGATAGCTCGCAATTGGTGAGTCGCAATTTATTTGGTGAGACATAAGTATGACCCATTACGAGCTGTTACGTCTGGATTGTAAGAAGAAGTTTGTGAAAAAAATGTTGTAGGTGTATCATTACTCATAATATAATATGTTACTTCCCCATTGTTGTTTGATTATTATTATCAAAATCAGGTATCCTAATTGTAAATTTTTACATATCTTAATTAGCAATTAATGCTATTAAACCTTTACACACAATTGCGCCACAAGGTGCAATTGAAACCTCACACACGTATTAGGACTTACTTTCTCTCACCAAAAATGCCCAAGATTTACTTCACAATTCCAGAATAGAATGGTTTTACAATATAACTCTCTCAATATATAGAGTATATAAGAAAGCGTATAGCTCAAGATAATCCAATCTCCAAAAATATAAATTTTGGTATAACAATGGGTATGAGTTAGAATATGAAATTTGGAAGTGAAATGTCAAGAATTTTGTTTGAATGTTTTTGCTTTGATTAGTGGTGCAAAGTTCTTTCGAAATAGGTTTTGTTGAGATTCTATGGGGGAGTGCAAAAATATAACCATTATGTTTAAAATTAGAGCTTAAAATATGTAGAAACTGGTTGACCGCTTTAAATCTGATCGATCGGATTTGAGATGACACTAACATGACATTAATCGTTTAAACGACAAAGCCACATCCGGTTGACCAAATTAGAATTCGGACCAATATGTCATCTAAGTATAAACTTACACAAATTAGTAATAATACTTAATGACACATTAGTTTGTTATCATCAAAATAAGAGCATGATGGCTCATTAAGTTAATAAAATTAATTTACATGTAGATTCCAAATGATATAAACTTGGTTAGATATGCATCTTGAAAGTCCTCAATACTTGGTTCTTCAAATGATTTTAGAGAAATGAGAAAGCAAGAACGAAATTGGGAATTTCTTAATCTGGATTGTCGTTAACCCAAATGAAAGTACATTGATCGGTTTCATATACTTGGGCAGTCGGGCTTACAAAGAAGCAAATGAAATAACACTTTAGTAACTAGTTAGTGAAGGTTTAAAACGCACCGTTTTATTAATGATTAGTTATTTAACTAAGGGATTATTATTTAACCCCTCGAGGTTTGATCAAAACAAAAACCCCCGCAGGTACCAAGAATTACGCAAAACCCGCTGCTATCTGTCAGATCAGATGGTAGAATTTTTTTCGTTACTTTAGACAGAAGAGGGGCAAAACAGTCATAACAGTTACAAGAATAAGTAAATAATTAATAAAGAAGCAAAATTAAAAAACCTAATCTAACCCCCAAATCTAACCCCAAACACCCGGCTGTCCACAACAACCAAAGCCGGCAACCGCCTCCACTCATCTGCGCCAGCAAATCCCAGCATTTCCACTCTCCAATTCAAACACCAACAATTCAATTTCAACCACCTTTTCACTCCCTCTAATACCCAACAACACAAACACTTAAAACTCTAAACTAAAACAAAATTATCAAAATCAAAACTAAAGCAGAAAAGGAAACAACAAGAGGGTTAAAAAATCACAAGGCGGCAATTGAATTCTGAAGGATTTCTACAGTTGACCGGGAAAGGCTAGTAGAGGAGGGAAAGGTTTGGGGGGCAGATTCCACCTATGAAAGCAGCCAGACTACATAAAACTCTCTCGGAATGGATCACTTGTTCAGCAACGAGATAATTGGAGTATGCAGGTGGTGCTATGAGGTTGGATGAGATCGTGATTGGGTAGGAAGAAGACAGGTTTTGTGGAGCGGTGAGGGAAGGAGAGATTGAGAGCGATGGCGTAAAGAAAGAGCAAGCGGTGAGTGGTGTTTGAAATTGAATTTGTAATTTTCTTTTTTTAATTAATTATTAACATTTATGGATTTGGTCTCGGGTTTTGTCTCGGTTCGGAGCACCGGTTTGGGTTTCAAGTATCGGGTTTGGGCAATGGTAGGATATTGTCAACTGGGTATAAAGTCATTTTACCGCCGTCCGCCCGTTGAAACTAACATACTGAGAGACGCTGTATAAGATTATAATTCTTGGTACCTGGGAGGGTTGTAGTTTAAGTGTTGACCAAACCTCGGGAAGTTTAAAGCGACAATAATGTTAGACGTTAGATCTTAAAAAGAAATTTACAAAAATTTATTGTATAAAATAATGTGGTAAGGGATGAAAGATTTATTGTATAAAGTAAAATACAAAAAAATCAAACTCATCTATTTACTCTTACAACAAATATTTATAAACTTCCTTATAATGTAACTAATTAAACCCATTTTAACAGAAACAACACCTAACACCTTTCATTAGTCTCAGCCTTAAACTCAGTACTCTGTAGCTCTCTGTAGCTCAGATCGCCTAAACAAGCTGAAAGCCCAAAAGTTCTGAGGGGATATATCGGGGGTGGGTTTATTAAAAAATTATGTACAATATATTGTTTGGCAACCTGGTTCAAGCTGGACAGGGAGTTCATAACAACGTAAATGTGTAAGGTATTTAGAAATTAGTTAAAAGATAATTTCAGTTAATTAAACACCAGAAGATGACAATGGGATATATACTGTATAGTTTGCGATGAGAGAGGATATAGAGCTAGGCTAGTAGGGTTAGTGAAAATTAATGTCTCTTTCATTACCATTTTAGAAATTAATTTAATGCTGGAAGTGGAATCTCTTAATTAAATAAATAAACGAGCTTGTGATACTGATATTTATATATATTATGGATACAGGTTGTATGCTTCAAAGTTGAAACCACAATCGGAATCAATAATGGGTTTTCAAGACTCTGTTGTGCCGTGCCTCATAATTCTTATGATTGCTGTATTAGCTAAAACCCAGCCCATAGTAGCCGCTGATCATATTCAGATTCATAGTAGCTTTCCAAAAGATTTCATTTCGGGACAGCCTCAGCAGCTTACCAGGTACAAATTAATACATATGTTTATTAATGTTGTAAAACAAAATTAATAAATTTCTAATTATGAAGTTTATTGAAATTTCCAGTATGAAGGTGCCGCAAAAAAAAAAGGTGGAAGGGGCCCTAGCATATGGCAGCAATGGAGATGTTGCAGTTGATTTTTACCATCGTTTATAAAGTTTAATTGGAGAATATTATTATTTCTCTTTTTCTTCTTTGTTCAAGATAGTAGCTATCACCTAGCAGTATATATATGAATTCATGCAGCTTTTTATTTCTTTTCCGTATCAGTTTTTTTTTCATAACACAAGCTTTGAGCTGATAATAATTATTCATTACTGTATAATTGATGATCTTATATATATATATATATTCAATAATTTTATGATGATGTCCTTGAAAATTAATATTACAGGAAGATGTACAAATAATAAAAGAAATGAATACAGATGCGTTCAGATTCTCCATTTCTTGGGAGTATTGGAAATGAATACAATTGCGTTAGATTCTCCATTTCTTGGTAGTATTTACAGATGCTCCATTTCTTGGTCTAGAATACCGCCTTGTACGATCATTATTGCTCTTCTTATCATTATGAAAGTATTCTGGAATATAACACACGCATACACCAATCAGGGAGAAAGACAAGAAACTTATTTCAAAAGTCACTGTTATTAGTGTATGGCATTATCAATTAATTCGTGTCTCGTTATGACTGATGAAAGCAGCCAATTAACACATATTTATGAATATTTATTACATGGACCATTCTATCTCACTCATGGTCCTAGTCCTTCAATTTAGGATTAGGACCATGACCGTGACTCTTTGGACCACTGGACTGGGCCACATGCAGTTTGGTCCGTAACATCCATCGCTCCTTACTATAAACCGAAGATCCCAGATTTCTAGTCATTCTTAAGTTAATTTCTTTTTTATTGTTAACATTGTTCAGGTAAACCTTAGGGAGTGTATGGTCATTATACCTAATATGCATGGACGCAGTATAAATAGGGGCAACAGGGAAGGCCATGGATGCATTCGAAGCTCAAAACACAATCAAATATGGGTATTAAACCCTCTCTTGCACCCTATCTCCTGGTTCTTATCGCTATATTAGCTCAAACACAGGGCATAACAGCAACAAGTGGTAAAGTCCAGAATCTCTTCAATCGTACTAGCTTTCCAAAAGGTTTCGTTTTTGGAACATCCTCCTCAGCTTATCAGGTTCAAATTAATACACTTAATTACTATATATATACATGTAACGAATAAATTTTCTTAAAAATTTATACGATTTCCACAGTATGAAGGTGCGACAGCTACAGGTGGCAGGAAGCCAAGTATCTGGGATAATTTCACTCACGCACACCCAGGTTTTTACAGTGCCTCAAACATATCTCTGATTGCATGAATTGTTGTCATATCTTATTCTTCGACATTTAACTTTCTGTATTCTCTATTGAATTACAGAAAAAATATCGGATGGCAGCAATGGAGATATAACAGAAGATTTTTACCACCGTTACAAGGTTTGGAGAAGATTATCTCTTCTTTATTTATGTTTGCTATATTTATGTTGTTGGCTTCTTTTCTCTTCTCTGTATTGAATATTATAAGTTGTATGAGTTTTAACAAATTAAAATGTGACGACTATAATCACAGGAAGATGTAAAGATAATGAAGGATATGAATACGGATGCATTCAGATTTTCCATTTCGTGGTCTAGAGTTCTTCCTGGTAATATCATTATTTCTCTTCATTTCCTCGAAACAACCATCCATAGTATTCTAGTTAACTTCGAACAAATGCCATCAATAGGCTTGCCTTCATTACACTTACAGGGGAGGTTCTAATTTGTATTATAATTGCTCTTTGGCCACAAATCAGGTGGGAAGCTGAAAAGGGGAGTGAACAAGGAGGGCATTCGTTTTTACAATAATCTCATCAACGAGCTACTAGCAAATGGTGATAATTCTAGCCCATTCATCTTTATAGTCTTACATTAAATAAATTGATAAACACCAAAATATTTTTAATGAATAAAGTCACAACTGATAACGGCTCAATACCATGACCCCGCCAGCTGATCATATATAGATTCACTGCCGAAAATTACATATAGATATAGTTATCACATGAAAGATGTTAATTATGACTCTATTCAAATGTATTTGGACTTTCTTTTCAATAAAATCATAATTACAACCAAACCAAAAAGAATCTAAAATACACCGTACCAAGTAATATATTAGATTTATTAAATAAGAAGAATTAATTTTAATTAGTTCTTGTAAAATATATGCTAATATATGTTATACTACAATTTGCGCGCAGGTCTGCAACCCTTTGTGACCATCTTTCATTGGGATGTTCCCCAAGCCCTGGAAGATGATTATGGTGGCCTTTTAAGCTTTCGTTTTGTGTAAGTGAAAATTGAATTTCACACAACACGTGCACACACACAACCCAATCCTTCTCATGACCACATAAGAGATTATTTTAATTATTTTGAAAAATACAGGGATGATTATCTACACTTCGCTGATCTTTGCTTCAAAGAATTTGGTGATCGGGTGAAGCACTGGATCACTTTTAATGAGCCCTCTATGTTTGCTAGCCAAGGTTATGACACCGGTGGTTGGGCACCAGGCCGCTGCTCCAAATATATAGATGAATCATGCCAGGCCGGAAACTCTGCCACCGAGCCTTACACTGTTGGCCACAATCTGCTTCTTGCTCATGCAGCAGCAGTTCAACTATACAAGCAAAAGTACCAGGTAAGTTACAGGTACTAGCTAACTATTTCTGGTTATGTATATATATGTGTCAGTGTTCGGCTTTTATAGAACCAACTGAAGAACTAAAAATTAAATTATGTTACGGTGTTAATAATATAGGCAACTCAGAAGGGGCAGATTGGAATAACATTAACGACTTTTATGATGCTACCTTACTCCAATTCCGCATCTGATGTTGCGGCAGCCAAAAGAGCCCTTGATTTCAATCTTGGATGGTAAGTAAATTGTCCAAACTGCTAATTAATTAACTAAAGATAATTTAAATAAGAAGCCATTTATAATGATTTTCTGTAATTTACATTACAGGTTTTTGGACCCAGTGGTGTATGGTGATTATCCAGCGTCCATGCGTAAACGGGTAGGAATAAGACTTCCACCGTTCAGCAAGAGGCAATCAAAGAGGCTCACTGGATCTTATGATTTTATTGGAATAAATTACTACACAACATATTATGCTAGGAGTATTCCTGCCGCTACTGTCAATATTAGCTACTCAACCGATTCCGGAGTTGAGACGACAGGTAAGTTTGTAGAAGAAACATAAAAATACTGCTAGATTTTGCTTATTTGCTTTTGACTCACGTGATTTAATGAATTCGTTCTATTTATTTTTCTTTTGCAGCCGTGCGTAACGGGGTCCCGATTGGCGAACAGGTATGTATATGAGTCCAACCAAAAAAAAAAATAAAAAAAACTTTTGACATGTGTTCAAATGATTAGAATTTTCATAATATATAAATTCTATTGTTTGGCAGCCTGGTTCAAGCTGGATTTACGTTTATCCAAAGGGGATCCGAGATCTTCTGCTTTACACCAAGAGAAATTACAAGAATCCTGTTATTTACATAACTGAAAATGGTGGGAAAAGTTCTTCAATTGATATCACTTCATTGACTGACCAATTTCATAAGTAATCTTAATTAATTTTCTCCAACCTTATGATATTTTCCAGGGGTTTGTGATACTAATAATACTGCTACCTTACCTCAAGCCCTAGAGGATCCAGTCAGGGTACTTTACTACTACCGCCATCTTTTGTTCCTCCACAGAGCCATTAAGTGAGTTTGCTTTTCTCATTATTTATTAATTTTCTAATCAGTGAATTAGTCATTAATTATATTCAAAGAACTCGTAGTAAATAATATTTTCATGATATTCCTGGCAGAGACGGTGTGAATGTCAAAGGTTTCTTTGCTTGGACACTTTTAGATGACTTTGAATGGGCCTCTGGTTTTACTTTGAGGTTTGGCATCAACTTCGTGGACTTTAGTAATGGCAGATTGAAAAGATATCCTAAGAAATCGGCTACTTGGTTCAAGAATTTCCTACAAAAGTAGAGCTAATACTTCGGTAAATGGTGTTAGATTAATTGTACGTTTTTATTTCAAGAAATTAGAATGAATGAGTCTTGGTTGATTAAGTGACGTCCAATAAGTAAGAGCAGGGATGAGTCTTCTCCTGCCAAGTTAACGTTGAGTTGCAGTTGTAATCATTCTCCAAATTTACTGTTAGTAGAGTTGTAATCTAACACCTATTATGGTGGGGAATTGACATTAATAAAAAATCACTTTTTCTAAATATTCAGCTTCATTTATAATAGAGGTTAAATGTCTTTAGTTAATCATATATACATGTTAAAATTTCTTCCATACTTAACGAGATAAAGCTAAAGATGAGTTCTCCTCGATATATAGGTTCTATATCTAACATTTTATAATACAATATGTTATCTCTCCCCATCATTGTTTGATTATTATTATCAAAATCAGATATCCTAATTGTAAACTTTTCTTAATTAGCAATAATGCTATTAAACCTTTACACAAAATTGCGTCACAAAGTGCAATTGAAACTTCACACACACATTAGGACTTACTTTCTCACGTTAGACATGCCCAGAACCCTAAGAGTGTAACACTCTCTTTCACAATTTGAGAATAGAATGGTTTTACAATAAAAGTCTCTCAATAGAGTAGATAAGAAAGTGTATAGCCCAAGATAACCCAATCTACAAAAATACAAGTTTTGGTATAACAGTGGGTATGAGTTAGAATATGAAATTTGCAAGTGAAAGGTCAGGAATTTTGTTTGAATGTTTTTTATTTGATTCATATGAAATTTCCAAGTATGCAAAGTTCTTTTGAAATAGGTTTTGTTGAGTTTATAGGGGTGATCCATTTCCAACCAATACAACACAACACATACCACAAATCAAGTAAAATTCGGCCAACACAAATATTAGAGTACAAATCACTTGCAATTTTCGGACCAAGATAAGTAAAAGCACTTCAAGCCTAAAAGATTACTCCACCAACTTGAATTGATTTACTACCAAATCCTCTTGCCAAGACTTGGATAAAGAATACACACTCAAGAACACAAAAGTTCTCTCAAATGGATCAAACCAATTTTCATATATTTTATAAGCTAAATGTTACAATTAAATAGTTGTCTTTATATAGGTAAATACAAGGGTAAACAAGTAATTGACAAATACATTAAAATGAAATAAACTTAACTAATATTACAAGTCATTCATTCAAAAAGCAAAGTTATGCCTATTTAATGCAAAAGAGACATGATTCCCTAATTCTAGGATCTATATCTTTAACCACCTCATTAGTTGAAATAAACTTACTTTATTAGATCAAAGCTTGATTAATGAGTCTAATTAAGTCTACTAATAAGGGTGTAAGAGTTTGGACCTTGAGAATCATGCAAATGGATCTAATAAGGGTTTATGTGGATCTCCCCCTTTAGAGTGAGACATGGGTCGGATAAGATCACTTCAACACTTAGAATTCTTTCTTGGTAGGCTTGAGCTTCTCTTGTTTAGCTTGGGCTTAGAATGGTTTGGGCCGAAATATTTGGACTCTCTCCCTCCTTGGAACTTGCTTGGGCCGAATTTCCTTCATTGCATTCTACATTTCACAATCCAAGTGTTTTAGGACTTGGAGTGAAATTCTTCAATTCAATTGAATTAGTAAGTGTTTTAGAACTTATAATTTCTTGTTCACTCATGTTTACAAGTGTTAAAGGACTTGTAAACGTATCAAGGAGGAGTGCAAAAATGTAGAAAATGGTTGACAGCTTTAAATCTGATCGATCGGACTTGAGGTGGCACCAATATGGCACTAATTGTTCAAACAACTAAGCCACATCCGGTTGACCAAATTAGAATCCAGACCAACATGTTATCTAAGTACACACTTAAACGCAAGTCATTAGTAATAATATTTAGGACCAAATTAGTTTGTTATCATCAAAAGAAGAGTATGATGACTCATTAAGTCAATAAAATTAATTTACATGTAGATTCCAAATGATATAAACTTGTTTAGCTATGCATCTTGAAAGTCCTTAATACTTGGTTCTTAAAATGAATTTACTAATTTAGTGAAATGAGAAATAAAAAACAACATTGGGAATTTCTTAATCTGGATTTTCGTTAACTGAAATGATAGCACATTGATCTGTTTATATACTCGAGCTTACAAAGAAGAAGCAAATGAAATAACACTCTAGTAACTAGTAAGTAACTAGTTAGCAAAGGTGTAAAACGCACCATTTCTCTCATGCTTAGTTATTTAATAAAGAGATTATTAATTAAGAGTAATACTATACTTACAAAGAAATTTTACAAAGATCTCATTTAATGAGTTTAACTTTTTATTTTACCTTTTTATTTATTTTTTATCATGTAAGATTTTTGTGTAAGTATAGTATTATTAATTATTTAAACCCTTTTAGGTTTGAACAAAACAAAAACCCCCTCAAATACTAAGAATAACGCAAAACCCCCTGCTATCTGTCAGATGTCAGAAATTTTTTCGTTACTTTAGACAGTAGAGGGGCAAAACGGTCATAATGGTTAAAAAAATAAGTAAATAATTAATAAAGAAGCAAAATTAAAAAGCCCAATCTAACCCCCAAATTTGAAAACCCCTATCTAAACCCCCAAACACCCCACTGTCCACTACAGCCAAAGCCGGCAACCGCCTGCACTCATCTGCTCCAGCAAATCCCAGCATTTCCACTCTCCAATTCAACCACCAACAATTCAATTTCAACCACCTTTTCACTCCCTCTAATACCCAACAACACAAACACTTAAAACTCTAAACCAAAACAAAATTATCAAAATCAAAACTAAAGCAGAAAAGGAAACAACAAGAGGGTTAAAAAATCACAAGGCGGCAATTGAATTCTGAAGGATTTCTACAGTTAACCGGGAAAGGCTAGTAGAGGAGGGAAAGGTTTGGGGGCAGATTCCACCGATGAAAGAAGCCAGACTACGTAAAACTCTCTTGGAAATGATCACTGGTTCAACAGCGAGATAATTAGAGCATGCAGGTGGTGCTATGAGGTTGGATAAGGTCTTGATTGGGTAGGAAGAAGACAGGTTTTGTGGAGCGGTGAGGGAAGGAGAGAGTGAGCGGTGAGTGGTGTTTGAATTTATAAATTTTATTTATTAATTATTAATATTTATGGATTTGGTCTGGGGTTTGGTTAGTGGTAGGGTATTATCAGCTGGGTATAAAGTTATTTTACCCCTGTCCCGTTGAAACTAAGATACTGATAGCCGGTAGGAGGTTTTGTATAATTCTTGGTACCAAACCTCAGGGGGTTGAAACTTTAAAGTTATAATCCCTATAACCAATTAAACCCATTTTAACAGAAACAACACCTTTCATTAGTCTCAGCCTTAAACCCTGTACTCTGTAGCTCTCTGTAGCTCAGATCGCCTAAACAAGCTGAAAGCTCAAAAGTTCTGAGGGGATAGATAGGGGGGTTTATACAAAAATTATGTATAATATATTGTTTGGCAACCGGGTTCAATCTGGACAGGGAGTTCATAATAAAATTAATTACGTAAATGTGTAAAGTATTTAGAAATTAGTTAAAAGATAATTTCAGTAAATTAAACACCAGACGATGACAATGGGATATATACTGTATGGTTTGCGATGAGAGAGGGTATAGAACTAGGCTAGTAGGGCTAGTGAAAATTAATGTCTCTTTCATTACCATTTTAGAAATTAATTTAATACTGGAAGTGGAATCTCTTTTAATAATTAAATAAATAAACGAGCTTGTGATACTGATATATATTTTGGATACAGGCTTGTATGCTTCAAAGTTGAAACCACAATCAGAATCAATAATGGGTTTTCAAGACTCTGTTGTGCCGTGCCTCATAATTCTTATAATTGCTGTATTAGCTAAAACCCAGCCCATAGTAGCCGCTGATCATATTCAGAATCAGAATCCCTTCAATCGTAGTAGCTTTCCAAAAGATTTCATTTTCGGAACAGCCTCAGCAGCTTACCAGGTACAAATTATTATATATGTGTATTAACGTTCTACAACAAAATTAATAAATTTCTAATTATGGAGTTTATGGAATTTCCAGTATGAAGGTGCTGCAAAAAAAGGTGGAAGGGGCCCTAGCATATGGGATACCTTCACTCACAAATACCCAGGTTTCTCTTCATCTTAATTTCCTCACGTCCATCACCGTATCTATTCTTTTCTCCTAAAACTTTTTACCTAACTATCTAATATACATACATGTACAAAACGCACATGCTATGAGGAATCTATTTCTATGTCAATGGATCTTCTTGTTGCATTGCAGAAAGAATAACGGATGGCAGCAATGGAGATGTTGCAGTTGATTTTTACCATCGTTATAAGGTTTAATTGGAGAAGATTATTATTTCTCTTTCTCTTCTTTGTTCAAGATAGTAGCTAGCAGTATATATATGAATTCATGCAGCCTCTTTATTTATTTATTTATTTTTTTCAATATTCAAGCGTTGAATAGATAATAGTTATTAATTACTGTATAATTGATGATCTTACAGATCATGTGAGCATATTTTCAATAATTATATGATGATTAATTTATAACGTTCTTGAAAATTAATATTGCAGGAAGATGTACAGATAATGAAGGAAATGAATACAGATGCTTTTAGATTCTCCATTTCTTGGTCTAGAATACTACCTCGTAAGATCATTATTGCTCTTCATATCATTATGAAAGTGTTCTGGAATATAACACACACATATACCAATCAGGGAGAAGGACAAGAAACTTATTTCAAAAGTCACTGTTATTAGTGCATGGCATTATCAATTAATTTGTGTCTTGTTGTGACTGATGAAAGCTGCCAATTGACACATATTTATGAATATTTATTACATGGACCATTCTATCTCTCCCATGGTCCTTCAATTCAGGATTAGGATTAGGACCATGGTCCGTGACTCTTTGGACCACTGGAGTGAGCCACATGCAGTTTGATGGTCCATGACACTGGTCGCTCCTTACTATAAACTGAAGATCCCAGATTTCTACGCATTCTTAAGTTAATTATTTCTTTTTTATCGTTAACATTGTTCAAGAATTTAATTGCTCGCTTTATTGAATAAATTAATTTTTAAACTTTCAATTGGATCAAGATGTCGTGTTCTTAGTCAACTGGGAAAAAGTTCTCTTTTTAATATTTGGCGTTTTGCTGTAAACCAGGTGGGAAGCTAAGTGGGGGAGTGAGCAAGGAAGGCATTAGTTTTTACAACAATCTCATCAATCAGCTCCAGTCCACCGGTGCGTGTTGATTACTATTCAAATGCATTTGAACTTTCTATAATTTCAATCAAAATCATACTTCCAAACCAAAGAGAATTGAAGATATCCCAATCAAAGGATATCTGATTTTTCTAATGAGTGTATTTAGGAATTGGATCCATCCTAAAAGTTAATTATTGAAATATATAATAATAATAATAATAATAATAATAATAATAATAATAATATATTTCTGATATTCTCTTAATTGCAGGTCTGCAGCCCTTTGTGACTATCTTTCACGGGGATCTTCCCCAGGCACTAGAGGATGAGTATGGTGGCTTTTTAAGTCCTCGTATTGTGTAAGTGAAAATTAGTGTTTATATGAAAACATTACCTCTAGACAGCATGTATATAGCTATCCTTTGCTTATTTACAAATCGATAATACATTATTGCAATTTTGCAATTCCCGATTTATCTTGAAAAATTAATACAGGGATGATTTTCGAGATTTCGCTGAACTTTGCTTCAAAGAATTTGGTGACCGTGTGAAGCATTGGATCACTCTAAATGAGCCCTCCATGTACAGTGCCTCAGGTTATGACTGGGGCAGTGGGCCACCAGGCCGCTGCTCCAAATGGGTAAATGAGGCTTGCCAGGCCGGAAACTCCTCCACTGAGCCTTATGTTGTTGGCCACAATCTCATACTTTCTCATGCCGCAGCCGTAAAACGATACAGGCAAAAATTCCTGGTGAGTAATAGCTACTTGTTAGCTACTTTAGGTACTGGTGCTAATAACGAAAATTTGAAGCACTAAAACTAAAATTATGATATAATGCACTGTAATTTAGGCGATTCAAAAGGGCAAGATTGGAATAACATTAACCAGTTCTTGGTTGATACCTTACTCTGATTCGAAACCAAATGTTGAGGCAGCCAAAAGAGCCCTTGATTTCAGTTTTGGGTGGTGAGTAAATTATGTCAAAACCCTTCATTGATTAATTTACCATATCTTAGTTAAGAAGTTATTTTTGTTTAATAGCTTGATTTAATTTTAACAGGTATATGGATCCATTGGTGTATGGTGATTATCCATTCACCATGCGAACCTTGGTGGGACAAAGACTCCCAGAATTCACCAAGGAGCAATCAAAGACGATCAAAGGATCTTTGGATTTTATTGGATTAAATTACTACACTTCGAATTATGCTGTTAATGATCCTGTTGCCAATCCTGTCAATTTTAGCTATTCCAAAGATTCTCTTGTTAAGTACACACGTAAGTTCATAGATCAAACTAAATTAACAATAAAATTCATAATAATAATCCTAATTTTTTTGTAAGTGCAAATTATTCTAGTTTTATATTACATTATATTTATTCTTGACCCTTCATGTTTATATATTTTTCCTCTTGCAGCCAAGCGAAGAGGGATCTTCATTGGCCCACAGGTATGTATATCTGTCAGGGAAATAAAAAGAAGAACATCAATAGTTATATAGGAAAATTAATATAAAAAAAAAAAATGTTCAATTAATGAGGATATACAATAATAATAAATTCATTTGACAGGCTGCTTCAAGCTGGCTCTATGTTTATCCAAAGGGGTTGCGAGATCTTCTGATTTACATAAAGGAACATTACAACAATCCTCTTGTTTATATCACTGAGAATGGTAAGAAATCCTTCCATCACTTAATTGACTGACCAAATGAAAAGTTAACAAATATATACAGTATTATGTAAATGTATTTGTTAATCATACTCCATTTAATCTTAAACTCCGACCCTATTGATATATTCCAGGGATTAGTGAGTTTAATAATGCTACATTACCACTTAAGGAAGCCCTGAAGGATTCTATGAGGATAAATTACTACTACCACCATCTTTTGTTTCTCCAAAGAGCCATTAAGTGAGTTTAATTTCTCATCTTCGTTCATTTGCTAATCAGTTTATTAATTTTTGTTTAAGAAATTGAAGAATTCATGATAACTAAGTTTGTGATCATCATCCTGGCATTTATGCAGGGAGGGTGTGAATGTGAAAGGTTACTTTGCGTGGTCACTTTTAGATAACTTCGAATGGAACTCTGGTTATACTCTGAGGTTTGGTATCAACTTTGTTGACTATAATAATGGTTTGAAAAGATATCCAAAGCAATCAGCCATTTGGTTCAAGAATTTTCTGCAGAAGTAGAGTGATAAGATCATACTACTATTAAGTCTTCGGTAATTGAGGGATGCTAAATTTGTAAGTTACTCATAATTTCTCTGTGGACTGTAATATAAATCTTATCAAAGGTTTGGTTCCGTATGGTTTGTGTTGACTGCAAGATGATGAGAAGAACGGAGGTTGAACCCCCACTGGAATTGAAATCTTTAAATGCAAGCAGATATTTAATGTACCAATTAAGCAGATATTTATTGAACCAAGTAAGCATAAAATCTTCATTTGCGACAGCATCATGAATGGAATCATTATCTCAACCCCAAAGGTTGGCTTGGCAATCAAAATATTTGTTTCCTTTCTTGAATTTTTTGGTTCAAATTTTAGGGTCATTTATTATAATAACATAGCAATTTACCTAGTACTTTGGGTTTATAGAGTGTCCAATGAACTCTAAAGATTAGTTGAGGTTTATATAAGTTGATCCGAATATCTTGGGGTGCGTTTGGCTTATTATTTATATCCCTAGTCTCAAAATATTTGTTTGTTTAATTATTTAAGAAATACTATTATATTTTTTTAATTACTTGTAGACTCTTTAAGTTTATTAATTTCATTAAATACCCTCAAGAAAAAAAGTTTAAAAATTAACAAAAACACCTTTATCCACCCATAGTTGTTAGATTCTGGCAACCACTGTTGGTGGTAGCTGGAATCTGTCATAACGGTCTACAAACGATTAGAATTTATTGGTAATTTGTCGATCTGATCTTTTTCGGTCAGATCTGTGGTGTTTAGATAAATTAATAAACCTAGAGGGTTTTTTTTTTTTTTTAAATTTTACATTTACCTTATAATAATCATCCTTTATAACTATTTAATACTATCTCCAAATCATATCAAAATAATAAACTAAACACATCCTTGATTACCCAAAAAAAAAAAAAAAAAAAAAAACCAAAAAATTCATGATCTGTCACACCCGCTGTAGCGGATATGATTTGAGTAGAAAACATGTAACTCGTTTTTTATTTGAAAAAATCTAACCCATTACATTCACATCCATTTGTAATGTGACAGGCTGCCTAATTGGATGTCATGTGGCCAAGATTATGTGGGTCACTTATCTTAAAAAATCAAGGCTAATGAAAACAACATTTTTTATTCTTTCTAATTTTATTCTTTATTCAAAGTCTATATATGATGAAAGAGGTATATGCATTTCTGTTTTTTTAATAAATTTTGAGTTCTCTTATCATTTCTCTTTAAATTTTAATGATTATTTATAAATTGATCATATAAATTTTTGGTTTTTTATCTAATTCAATCCAAAGAAAAAAACTTTTAAACATTTAACTTGCATTGGACAATGATTAAAAATTTCATTACAAGGGTTAAAATTTGTATGATAATAATCTATATAATTTATAAATAGAAAACAATTTTGGCCATTTAGTTAAATTTACCACCTTTGGTAGTCAAGTGGTATGACGAGACACTAAGAGTGTATTAAGACGTACAGTCCTAAATTTAAATCTTCTGACTGTCAAATTTAAGTAGGTGATCATAGTGGTGAATACTGTACTAACACACCTATAAGGATTATTCGAGTGTGTGCGAGTTGATTGGACACCCTGTTTTAAAAAAAAAAAATAATAGTTAAATTGATTTCCCTTGACCGTAAGATCAAAGGCGCCTAGGAAAGTTGTTAGCATACGTTGATCAAAGAAATAGGAATCATAGGAATAAGGATTATGATCATTCTGTATGACACAAATTATCATACATCATGATACGTACGCTGTTATAAAGTTCGTTAAAATTAAGAAAACACAAAAATCAGAACGATATGGATAATTTAATTCAAATACTATTTCATTATAAACTGTTTTAGAACAGTATCCCTTTTGAAATAATTCTATATATAGAAATCCTGGACATTGTTTAGAAGCAAAGTTGAATTATGACAGCTCAATGTCTTTTACTCTTTTGCCTACTACTTCTGCTGGGATTTTTGGCTAGCACAACTATGCTGCAAAACCAAGCCCTTATTCGGAGTCGTTTAACCGCAACAGTTTTCCTACAGGTTTCACATTCGGCGCTGGATCTGCTGCTTGCCAGGTGTATTTTTATATGCCATTAGGCTCATAAAACTGAAACAGATATAATTAAAAAACATGAAACTAACTTTTATGCAATATGATTTATTTTGTTTGGCTTCATATATTAATCTTTTCAGTCTGAGGGAGCAGCATTTGAAGATGGAAAGGGAAAAAGTATATGGGATACTTTCGTTAGGAAATATCCAGGTCTCTTTGATCTCTTATTTATCCTTCTCTTTGATTCTTCTTGTCTCTCTAAAGGGTATCAAATAATGTTGATAATTTATTTTGCATTTACTTTCACGTCTCAAAATGCATCTGAAATTAGACAATGTTGAGAATCAAGCTGGCAATATGAGGTGGCAACGGTTGTTACATTCAGTTAGCAATTAGTTTGTAAAATGAAAGTTAGTTAGTCGTTGTAAATAGAAGTTAGTTAAGTTGTTATAAGAGTTAGTTAGCAGTTCAGTTGGTAACAGAATGTATGTATATAAAGCCTTGTATCAAAACAAATTAATGATGAGAAATATAGATGCATGATTTACGTGTCTTCTTCTCTCACTTCTTTCTTGTTTTCAAATCAGTTTTTTCCACATTTTAACATGGTATCAGAGCAGAATTAGAGTTGGAAATTCTCAGAGAAAATTTCTGGAAAATTCTGGAAAATTTTGAGTTAATCAGTACTCAATTTCTTCGGCACTTCTTCTTCGGCCATTTCTGAAGATTATTTCTCATTTTTTTTTTTCAATCTAATCACACCAAGCTCAACTGAAGATGGCCGCTGATGGCAATGACGAATCCTCTTCAACACCTGTAACTACTCCGCAAATTACAATTGACTTTAACCATCCTCTCTACCTGCATCCTTCGGATACACCAGGTGCAGTTCTTGTTTCTTTTCAATTGAGTGGAATTGACAATTATTCTTCATGGAGTAGGTCTATGAAAATTGCTTTGTTAGCAAAGAATAAGATTGGATTTATTGATGGTTCTTGCACAAAGAATACAATTTCTGCTAGCTTGCATAATAAATGGGATATGTGTAATGCTATAGTGCTCTCATGGCTCATGAACTCAGTAACAAAAGAACTCTTAAATGGAATTGTCTATGCTTCAAGTGCACATCTAGTATGGAAGGATTTACAAGAAAGATTTGATAAAATAAATGGATCCAGAATCTTTCAATTAAATAGGGAGATAGTCACTTTGGTGCAAGGGACTCATTCAATTTCCACATATTTCTCCAAACTGAAATTGCTATGGGATGAGTATTCATCCATAATTCAACTTCCAACTTGTGAGTGTTCCATGTCAAAAACATATGTTGATCACATGCAGAATTAGAAACTCCTTAAGTTTTTAATGGGATTGAATGAAACCTATTTGCATGCTAGAAGTCAAATATTAATGATGAACCCACTGCCATCTGTAAATCAAGCTTATTCCATGCTTGTTACTGAGGAAAGCCAAAGGAACCTTATCAGTGCTGCTCCAACTGAATCAGCTTCACTTGAACCAACTGTCCTTTATTCATCTTCGAATTCCAGTCAACAATCATCAACACCAAAGAAAAATTGGAGCATAATTTGTCAACACTGCAATGTGAGAGGTCATAAGAAAAATAATTGCTACAGATTGATTGGTTATCCTGCCGATTTTAAGTTTACAAAGAAGAAATTTTCTAATCAGTCTTCTGCCAGCAATGTCACTTCTGTTACTCAGCCAGACACTAATCCATCTTCCACTGAAAGTCCAACTGCTCCAGTTTTCTCTAAAGAACAACATGCTGAGATACTGAAGTTGCTTCAAAAGGAACCTTCCATGACACCATCAATTGATGCCAATGTCAACATGGCAGGTATCCATTCTTATTTTTCATCACTGCATCATGGAAATTGTTGGATCCTTGATACAAGTGCTAGTCACCACATGACAGCATCCCTGGATAAACTTACAGATTTAATGGAGTCTACTTCTCCATCTTCAGTCAGACTTCCTAATGGACATCAATCAACAGTCTCTCATATTGGTTCATATATGATTGGTCCTAATCAAAGGCTAACTAATGTGTTATTTGTGTTGATTTCAAATTCAACCTGATCTCTATAGCAAAACTCACCAGAGACTTAAAGTGTTTTGTTTCTTTCTATCCTGATTTCTGCATATTTCAGGACCTCTCAAGTGGCAGAGTGCTGGGGATTGGTAGAGAAGCTGAAGGCCTTTACTTCTTCATGCCTTGTTCTGTTCCAACAGTTCATCATTCTGTTTTGCACAAGCCATTGGGAACCTCTTATTTAGTTTCTGTAAATCTTTGGCATAAACGACTTGGACATATACCTCATGTCAAACTATAACAATTTTCTGAAATAAAGACTACTGTTTCTGATGAAAATATCATATATAATGGCTTGGTGCTTTCCTTTAAATATTTAACATAAGAAGAGTAAGCCAGAATATATTAAAATAAATTACAATTAACTGTGATTAATTGATTTGTTTCAGCTGGCAGTATAAGCTTCGACATTTATTGAAGTGGCCACGGCTCACCTGCATATATAATATTCTATTCAAATGTGTAGCGACAAAGCTTAGAGCTTTTGGATCCATTTTTTCTGAAATTGTTTATTGATTTAATTTACAAAAAACATGAACAAAAGCAAATCAACAAATGTGTTGCATAGCTACATTTCAAAAACAGTTGAAAAGAATATTAAACTCATTTATTTTTTTAGTATTATGCTATGCACTTTACATGTTTCAGTTGTAAAATAAAACAAACTGTAGGGTTCTCTCATTAATTTGTTTGTGAAATCTTGTGGTGGTATGGCAGAAAAAATTGCTGACAAGAGCAATGGAGACGCAGCGGATGATTTTTATCATCGATACAAGGTTTGGCCCAGCGTACGTATCTAAAAACTATGTGGTGGAATTGGATTTCTTATATATCTTTTTCACTTCCATGAGAAATATTAATTGTTCTGATAGTAAAATGGTTGAGAAATGTTACAGGAAGACATGAAGTTGATGAAAACGATTGGGTTAGACTCTTTTAGATTCTCTCTCTCATGGAGCAGAATATTACCTGGTAAGATCATCATCACTTGAAAGTTCAATTACATTATATGGGGACCATGATATTAATTTGTTCCGAATATTTTTCATTTTCAGAGGGAAAACTTAGTGGGGGAGTGAACCCACTGGGAGTCAAATTCTACAATAATCTCATCAACGAGCTCCTTGCTAATGGTTACCAATTGGAAATTCACTCCTATATATTTCCCCTCTAATTTAAATTCTGGATCAATATATATATATATTTACTGTGAATTTTCAATATGAACGACAGGAATAAAACCCTTTGTGACTTTATTCCATTTTGATACTCCACAAGCACTTGAAGATGAGTATGGCTCGTTATTAAGTGTTAAAATAGTGTAAGTTATGACTTGTATTTCCTTAATCAGAACCATGTGTTTAAGTGGAATAGATTAATTGTAAGGGATCTTTGATGAACAGGGATGATTATCTAGAATATGTGGACTTTTGCTTCAAAACATTTGGCGACCGGGTGAAACTCTGGGTGACTATGAATGAACCAAATGGATTTGTGGTGGATGGTTACAATGGCGGTTCTTTTGCTCCTGGTCGATGTTCTAACTATGTTGGAACTTGTCCTGCTGGTGATTCGGCCACCGAACCGTATATTGCAACACATCACTTGCTTCTTTGTCATGCAGCTGCTGTAAAATTGTACAGGAAGAAATACAAGGTTTGTACATTATTAGGATACATATAAGGCCAATATTTCAAATTAGCATGGAGCTGAAGCTAGGCTACTTATTAACAATCATTAATTAACTTCATCTTATATTGTGGTCACAGCCGTTTCAAAAAGGGGAAATTGGGATTACAATAGTGACCAACTGGTATATAGCAAAATTCAATACAACTTCCAGTCACAGGGCCGCCTCCAGAGCCATGGATTTCTCTTTTGGATGGTGAGTAATCGAGTTTAAGTTTATTAAATCAAGTTTGAAGTAGGAAATTACTTCTCAAAGTATTGGTGGTGTAGGTTTGTAAACCCAATCACATTTGGTGAATACCCCAAGAGCATGCAAAGTATAGTGGGAAGAAGATTGCCCAAGTTCACTGAAGCACAATCCAAGATGCTTAAAGGGTCCTTTGATTTTCTTGCTGTTAACTACTATACCACAAATTATGCAGACAATGATCTTTCATTCAACGGTTTCAATCTTAGTTATACTGCTGACAGACAAGCCAATCTCACTAGTATGCTCAATATTTTGATTGATTAGATAAATAAATGTTTTTTTTTCGATGATATTTAGAATTAATATCCTTAATAATTATACGTATTGTTGCCACAGCTGAAAAGAATGGAGTTCCAATTGGCACATCAGTAAGTTTAGTTACCTTAAATTAGCCCCTCTCTCTCAAATATTTAATTTGTGTGAAGAAATTGCATTAGTAATCACTGATACGTTTATGTTATCAATGACTTTATTTATATAGACCTCTTTGAGCTGGCTGTTCATTCATCCAAAGGGATTGCAAGAGTTTTTGCTGTATATAAAGGAGCATTACAACAATCCAGTAATTTACATCACCGAGAATGGTAAAACAATTAATGATCATATCATATTTTCAAGATTTTTATCATCACCACTCAAATAATTAATACTATTTTTTGTTTTTGCAGGAATGGCTGACAATGCTTCTTTGCCACTTAAAGATGCTTTAAACGATAAATTGAGGATAGCATATCACCATGGTCACCTAATACATCTCTTGAAATCAATTAAGTGAGTAGTAATTAATATATTAAAACACAACTAGAAGCACATTAATTTGTGTAGTAAACTTCAATAATTGTTGACGGATTTTGATAACAGGGACGGTGTTCGTGTGAAGGGTTACTATATCTGGTCATTTTTCGATGATTTCGAATGGGACGCTGGTTACACTGTCCGATTTGGCATCACTTATGTTGATTACAAGAATAACTTGAGACGACACCTCAAGTCCTCAGCTTATTGGTTCAAAAAATTCCTCCTGAATTAACTTGTGAACCATTAATGGGGCTGGCTGGCGCCCTTGCTTAATTGCTATAGTTTGTGAGATCAGAGAAGAAATACTGTTCCTGCTATATGCAAATTTATTAAATAATTAATGCCAGTCTTTGTGCAAAACTTCTACTAATATTGGAAAGAATAAGAACTTTCTTATCTGGATATTAATATCAATAATGCTATTACATATTGCTCCAAAATTTCTGAGATGATAACGTTTGTTGTCATTTGTCGACATCAATTACAAAGTTAAGAACTCCTTTCCTATTATGTCACACACGGCCAACACCAGGAAGTATTTCAGAGGAGATAAATTAAAAAAAAAATATAATATAGAAAAGGGAAAAAATAAATGACAAGGTCAAGTCTAGAAATATTAATACATATAGAGGGGTTAAAATTAAAAAAAAAAAAATCAAACCGATGCCCTCAACTATAGCTTGACAATGACATACCATCGTCTTCATCTATCATATACCCTACAAGCTATTAAGTGGCTACAAAATTTGTTGAATATCTGGGAGGATTTAATGTTTTCATACATGCAGCTTCATTAATTCTGTATTTTTTTGTTTCTTCTGGTAGGGACGGAGTTGATGTTAGGGGATACTGTAAATGGTCATTTCTTGATAATTTCGAGTGAACATCAGTTTATACTGTTCGGTTTGGCATCAAATACGTGGATTACAAAGATGGATTAGAAAGATATCTCAAACATTCTGCTTCATGGTCTAAAAGATTCCTTCAAAGGGAAATTGCAACCATTGAGTCTGGCTTGTTGTACTCTTGAGTGATTAAATAATTTGTTGTAAGACTGATGACCTTCAACCTGCTCTGTGCCCTAGCATGAAGGCCAAAGAGTAATTCAGTGATTAATGTGCCAGAATTTTCTTCAAATCCTGACTTTTACACTGAGTAAAAACAAAGTTGTTGATTGGTAATCAACAAAAAAGAAATATATGAAAGACAATAAATTTTATGTTACAAAATCTATGTTAGAATTTAAATTTAAAGGAGAGCCAAATCTAAAAGACCGGTTTGATACGTGGGAGAGTAACATACTTGATAGGTTCGATGTAAGATTCTAACAATCTATCTTTTAAATAAGGTCAAATCATAAAGTATTTAAAACCGTAAAAGTTAGGAGAAAACTTTTAAGTAGGTGAAGAGAGTAGAGACCCATTCTTTTCAACTAAAGTATTGGCAGATATATAAGAGAGGCCATTAAAGGCCGGGGCCGGGGGGCCAGAAGCATGGTCCATAAATCAAATGCAAGCCCCATCTCAAGCTGTCCACGAGAATACATAAAGATCTGATAGATCGATATAAATTTATAAATGAAAATGGCACTTGTCTGCATGCTTCTTTGGGTTAAAACCCTTATCTTTAAATGCATTAATTACAATTTTAACATTCTAAAAATGCTTCTTATTACATTGGGAATGTATTATAGCTTGACTGCAAAAGTCTAATTGACTAGCAGGTTTTGCTGTTTATATTCTACAGTACAGAGCACTGATGCTTAAGACGAGAAATTTACTTATACTGGTGGAAACTTGTGTATCTATTCTGTCACCACATCATAAAACTCTGATTTTTTAATGTTCTTGTTAATTTTAATCAACTTCATACGTGGAAAGCTTGGTAACATTCAAAATTGTCGGCTATGTTATCCGATAGATGACTTGAGGTAAAGAGATTTAAAGTTAACAAATTAGTCCCTGAACGCCTTTCTCTCTTTGAGGCTTTCAGATTTTCATCTGTTCTACGTTGTATCTCAAGAGACTAGTAGTTATTAAAGCTATGATCATCATCCTCATCTAACTTTTTCTTTAACGAGCAGTAACCATTTTCATAACTACCAGTCAACCGCACATGATTTGTATTGGAGACTTATTCACAAATATATGTCTAGTATGACTATCTATAATGATTCTCTACTACCGCACGAAATATGTATTAGAGACCACTAAAATTCAAACCTGCATGTCTGAACTAAAACAAGACCAGAATATATATATATATATCTATCTATATGTAAATTCTAGATTTCTTACTATATATTTCACCAATACTGCTACTACATACTGCACTGACCCATTTTGTTGCCATGCATTCAAATTTAGATATGAAGATTCAAAATCTTCTTGTCACAAGCCTCCTAGCCCTTACCTTTTTGCTCCCCTGCATTCAAAGTTTGAAGCCATGTCATTACTCTACTGTGTTAAACAGGAGTAGTTTTCCGGCTGGTTTTCTATTTGGAGCAGGATCAAGTGCTTATCAGGTATATATGCCAAACTATACATATGGAGAGTATATCATACAATATTTACTCCATAAAATAAGTTTTGTGTGCATACTATACATACAGCCGATTAAAGAAGCAAAGTTTTGTGTGCATGTACTAAGTATATCACATTCTCTTTGTGATTTCTTTTCTCGATCTGTTTGAAGTCTGAGGGAGCAGCATATGTAGATGGCAAGACAAGAAGTATCTGGGATTCTTTTGTTATTGAACATCCAGGTCTCTCCCTTTCTCCTTCTCTCTCTCGTCTTGTAATATTATATGATATATATTGCTTCAAATGAAAAATAAGCTTCCCCAAGGTACAAAAATTAAGAATTTGTGTAGCCTGTTTAATTCTACCCTTCAATGCTTGTCTTGGTGCCCCTTTTTTATATTTAAAAAAGGAGTCCGTACATTATACATACCAAACAATCAACCAATTGGAGTACAGTTTTACTTGGGCAAAGAATGAATCACTGTCATTGTCATACTTGTAAATCAAATGTTTCTTCAATTTTTAAACATTTGATTCCCGTGACAGGGAAGATTTCGGACCATAGTAATGGGGATGTAGCCGATGAATTTTATTATCTCTATAAGGTAAATATGCAATACTCTGCATGCCACCATAATGACTTTTGAAGCAGAAAGCCTTTTTTCTGTTCTTTTTTCCTTTTCGTTTTCATCAGTAATGAAATTATGATTGAATCAAAGTTATTATATTGCAGGAGGATGTTGCTGCGATGAAAGAAATTGGTCTGGACACATTCAAATTCTCCATCTCATGGCCCAGAGTATTACCAAGTAATTCCTATATGTATTAGGGTCAATATATAAAAAAAACCATCTGAAATTAGCTAGAATTCTACTTGTTTTCTGGTTGCCAGTGGTTAATTCCCTTGATCTAACTGAAACTTTGCTTTAGAGGGAACAATTAGCGGGGGAGCGAATTGGAAAGGTGTCGATTTCTACAATTCTCTCATCAATGAGCTAATATCAAATGGTGTAATGTTGATCGATCTTCCTCTAATTTTTACTTTCCTGATCGCTATGTCCCGCTGGCTCTCCCCTTAAAATTATGATTTCTGAGCAGGTATAGAGCCCTTCGTCACAATATTCCATTGGGATCTTCCACAGGTCCTGGAAGATGAATATGGTGGATTTTTAAGCCCTCAGATTGTGTAAGTCAGAATGAACCTGTTACCGAATCTATCTAATACAAGATACCTGAACATAATTGCCACCTTAATAACTTGACAATTGGTAAATAGGAATGATTTTCGTGATTACGCTGATTTCTGCTTCCGAGAATTTGGCGATAGAGTAAAGTACTGGATCACTTTGAATGAGCCAAATTTATATAGTAAATATGGATATGCAACCGGAGAGTACGCACCAGGTCGTTGTTCCAACTATATTGGAAATTGCACAGAAGGAAACTCTGCAACAGAGCCCTATTTAGTGACCCACCACATGATTCTTTCTCATGCAACAGCTGCAAATTTATACGGGCACAAGTATAAGGTTAGTGTTTTATACTTGTACATCCATGTTATGCATTGATTTGAAATAGAATATTGTGCATCAAAGTCCCAGAATGTTTCCAAGCCAGATAAGAATATGTTTTAATCTTGCAGGCTTCCCAAAAGGGGATAATTGGGATAACAGTAAACACCGAATGGCAAATACCTAAATATCAAACAGTTTCATGCAGAAAAGCTGCCCTCAGAGCTCTCGATTTTAAACTCGGATGGTGTGTTTTCTTAATAAGATATTGTTATGAACTCTTTATATTAGATTTGGAATTAAATCTGTCTCCCATAATTTTAATGATTTATCTAGGATTGTCCATCCATTGACGTTTGGTGATTATCCAAAGACCATGAGAAATTTAGTTGGGAATCGACTGCCTAATTTTACAGATGAACAAACAATTCTGATAAAAGGTTCCCTGGACTTCGTTGGAGTGAATTACTATACGACGAGATATGCAGAAAAATCTAATTCTAGCAGCAGTCTCCTGAGTTACACAACGGATAGTCATGTTAACGACACTGGTAGGCACAAATCAAACACTGCAAATTTAATATCTTTTGTCTAATATTATTACATATAATTGAGTGATCTGTAATATGTTCTTGCAGTTGAGAAAAATGGGATTCCTATTGGTGAACTGGTACACTTTTTTATTTTATTTTTTCATATATATATTACATGTTAGTGTTAAAATATATAACATGCTTCTTTTCACAGGCAGGAGGCAATTGGATTTATATGTACCCGAGAGGACTTGGAGAGCTTTCGCTATATGTAAAGAGAGAATACAATCTTCCTATTTACATCACTGAGAATGGTAATTGAAAGGAAATCATATATAGAATTTAAAAAGCTCTAGTTCCTGTAAGTTATGAATTATTTTTCTAATATCAATCGCATTCCTCCTCATACATACTTTTAAGGAATGGCGGACGCAAATAATAGTTCGTTATCAGTTGATGAAGCTCTCGACGATAGCTTGAGAATAACATATCTCCAACTTCATCTATCAGATCTCCTACAAGCTATCCAGTTAGTTTTACGATTTTGTTTGCATTATTATGTAGTTATTTAGTTGATATTTTGTTTATCAACTCAACTCTCTTCTGAATTTGGGTGCAGGAAAGGGGCTGATGTTAGAGGGTATTCTGTGTGGTCATTTCTCGATGACTTTGAGTGGGCTTCTGGTTATACTTTACGTTTTGGTTTCACTTATGTAGATTATAGTAACGGAGTGAGAAGATATCTCAAAAAATCTGCTTTATGGTACAAAAAATTCTTACAAAAGAAAAATGTGACCACCCATCAATCTTCTTTATTATTCTCTGTATAATTGAACATATTGTTCAAGGCACTTGATGACTTTAAATAAATAATATATAAATCACTGAAAAAATAATTATTATCTTTGTAAGTATATAACCTGGTAATTATTGATGATGATTTGTACTTGTACTCATATCAATGAAGTTTAGTGATTCTTTGCAATAGTATTAACAGGTTACAATAAAGTTCTTAAGAGAAAACTAAGGGCAGTAATCAAATTCTTTAATAAAAAATGGATATTAACAAGTTTTATCAAATTAAAAAGTTTGGATACTCCCACTAGTGAGTAAAAGCAATACAATAAAAGTGTAAATAGCTTTTAGAAGTGAGTTTTATTCAAACTCGCTTTATCATCTTTAACCCATTTTTTTTTTTCTTCTTCTGAGTTTTCCAAGAAAGTAACGAGTGAGGGTTTTAGAAAGCCGGTGGAGTATTATTCATTTACTTGGGCTTCGGGCTTTATCTTTATGCCCTGTTTTGTGTCCAAACCCACACATGGTAGTGGCCAGCCCAACGCCATTCTACTGGGATCTTCCATATCCCCTAGGAGATGAAAATGGTGGATTATTAAGCCCTGAGATTGTTTAAGAGTCCATATGCCTTCGGCTTATGTAGCTTTCTGCTTCCAAGAATCTGGCCATAAAGTATTGGATCACTTTCTTGTTAACTTTGGGTATGCAACTGGGGAAACTCTTCAATAGAGCCCTGTATAGTGACCATCAACTCATTCTTTCTCATCCACGTTATGCATCCAAAAAGAAATTCAAGATTGTTATACAACTAACAGTCTATACACAGTACATGTTTGATATTACACCTAACATATGATTATTTACACAACTTTCTAAATTTCTAATTAATTCCTATATCTTCTCCCAATTTTTCACAATCATCCCTTTACTGTTGTTCCTTTCAACTACAGCTTTGGCCATGGCTACTGACTACTGTATAGGTTGGTCGTTGAGTTATCTAATCAAACAAGAGCCATTTTGCGGTAGCTGAGAGCAACAAAGTCAAATATGAAGATCGCAGTTCTTGTCACCCACCTCCTACTACTGACCCTTTCGTTGTTCTGCAGTGAAAGTTTGAAGCCATATGCTCAATATTCTTCACCTACTGATAAATAAATAATATTTAATCATTGAAATAAATAAATAAATTATTTACAAAACATCTAAGTTGATGAGTTGATACAATTAATAATCATCCGTAATGTCTTTAAATATTTTGTCAAATTTATGTGCTTATAGTTAGTTGACCATTTAATAATTAAGTTTTGCTCTTGACGTTTGAATATGGAATAGATTATTACTAAATTAAACAGTTTCCTGCAGAAGACGTCAAATGGGTAGTAGTAATACTTAAAAATCAAACAGTTTCCTGCAGAAGCAACGGGTTTTACTAAACTAATGATTAAAAAAAATATATATTTTGATTAACATTGACCAGCAGGTTCTTCTTAATAAGGCAAATTGCTTAATCTCCAATTGTCTCTTCCTTCTGTCTGCAACTAAGTGGGAAATGAAGATTAAAGATCTTCCTGTCACCTACCTCTTAGCTCTGACCCTTTTGTTGTCCTGCATTGAAAGTTTAAAGACATGTGATAAATTCTCTACTACGCTAAACCGGAGTAGTTTTCCGGCTGGTTTTCTATTTGGAGCAGGATCAAGTGCTTACCAGGTAGGCCATATCATATATCCACATATATCTGAAATTTGAAGGCAAAATAAGAAAGAAAAATCTATGTTAAATTACTAATTGCATATGTTTTCTTTGCTCTCCTAATTTCAAGTCTGAAGGAGCAACATATGCAGACGGCAGGAGAAGAAATATCTGGGATACTTTTGTGATTGAACATCCAGGTTTCTTTTGTCTTTCTCTCATAATATCCAGAAGTGGTTTATATATGCCAAACAGTCAATTCTTAACCAATTGGGCTGTTTTGTTTTGGAAAGGATTCTAAATAAAATGTTTCTTCAATGTGTTTTTATTGTTTTCTTTTATATTAATTATAAAACTATGCAATTCAACTTAATTCTATGATGAGCTCTGAAACCACATATATAAATTTTTTCTACGTTATGACAGAGAAAATTTCAGATCACAGTACTGGAGATGTAGCCGATGAGTTTTATTATCTGTATAAGGTATATGAAAAATACTCTGCCTCAGTTAAGATCTTTTGAAACAGAGAATAAATGAATATCCTTTTCCTTTTAAGGAAATGATTGAAATATATTATGTTGCAGGAGGATGTTGCTCTGATGAAAGAAATTGGTTTGGACACTTTCAGATTCTCCATCGCCTGGTCCAGAGTATTACCTGGTAAGTTCAACACAAATTAAATTCAATATGCAATTTGAACTTGCTGTTTCAATTACCCGCAATTGAGTGTTATCTTGATCAATGGAACTTCTTTTTAGAGGGAAAAATCAGTGCGGGAGTGAATTGGTTGGGTGTCAAATTCTACAATGCGCTCATCGATGACCTCCTATCAAATGGTATAATGTTTTGATCAAACTCCCTTACCCCAACAATAATTACTATAAATAAAAGTGCTCTTTCTTGTTATCTTCTGTGACATCTTGCGTTTCGAGCAGGGATAGAGCCCTTCGTCACAATATCCCACTATGATGTTCCACAGACACTGGAAGACGCATATGGTGGATTTTTAAGCCCTGAGATTGTGTAAGCCGTGAGAATATAAAGACCTTTGACTTAAAATCTTATCTAATATTCCAAGATAACTGAAAATATATTCCTTGAAAATTGGTAATAGAAATGATTTTCGTGACTACGCTGATTTCTGCTTCCAAGAATTTGGCGACAGAGTAAAATACTGGATCACTATAAATGAGCCAAATTTATTTACTTGCTATGGGTATGCAACTGGAATACTTGCACCTGGTCGTTGTTCCAACTATATCGGAAATTGCACACAAGGAAATTCTGCAACAGAGCCCTATTTAGTAGCCCACCACATTATTCTTTCTCATGCAACAGCTGCAAATTTATACAGGCAAAAGTATCAGGTTTGCGCGTTTCTAGGCAAAGTCATGACATTTATTTGCTTCAAATATCAGTTTAGTTGATCAACAGAGAGCTATATTAGACAAGAATATAATTCTAGTGGTGTGTGACTGTGTGGGATTAGCTGAGCTAGAAAAAAAAGGTGCATTATTTCTTGCAGGCTTTTCAAAAAGGAATAATCGGGATAACACTAGACACCGCTTGGCAAGTACCTAAATATCAAACAGTTGCCAACAGAAAAGCTGCCTTAAGAGCTCTCGACTTTTATATTGGTTGGTGAGTAATTGCTAGTCATTTCTTGTATTGTGATCAATTGTTTTGAAATGATTCAACAACTTTTAAAACTGTATACATTATACTTGAAAGTGTTGAGATCTATTCTTAATTATAATCTTAATGATTTGCATAGGATTCTTCACCCAATGACATTTGGTGACTACCCAAAGATCATGAGAAAAATAGTTGGGAGTCGACTGCCCACTTTTACATATGAACAATCCAATTTGGTAAAAGGTTCTCTTGATTTCCTTGGAGTGAATTACTATACATCGAAGTATGCAGAAGATAGTAATTCTAGCAGCATCCTCTTAAGTTACACAACAGATAGTCATGTTAATAATACTTGTAAGCAAAAACCTTGATGATCTTATACAATTAATATTAATTTGTGTTTATATTCTTTTTAATAATATAATTATTTAGAGATTTGTTGTTGCAGATGAGAAAAATGGGATTCCTATAGGTGAACCGGTACTTCTATATTTTCCTGATTGTACATATACCAGATATATTCTTTATAAGAAACAAGTCATATTTTTTTTGCAGACAGATGTTAGCTGGCTTTATATATACCCGAAAGGAATTCGAGAAATTGTACTGTATATTACAAAAAAATACAACAGTCCTCCCATCTACATTACTGAGAATGGTAAAAGATAAACATAAAAGTAAAGTAAAACTAATTAGTTTTGTAAGTCATATGCGATTGTCATTCTAATATTAAGCCTTTTCATACTTTTCAGGTATGGGATATACAAATAATAGGTCATTGCCAGTAGGTGAAGCCCTGAAGGATAGCACGAGGATAAAATACCACCAACTTCATCTATCATATCTCCTACAAGCTATCAAGTGAGTGTAGCAATTGATTGGAAGAGAATCACACAAGTGCACAAGTTTTAATTATGTTATTCAACTTATTGTCATATAATGTCTGTTAATATAAACTTAATGAATTTTGACAGGAAGGGGGTTGACGTTAGGGGATACTTGATATGGTCATTTCTTGATGACTTTGAAGGGGCATCAGGTTACACTGAACGTTTTGGCCTCACTTACGTGGATTACAACAAGAAGTTAACACGATATCTTAAAAATTCTGCTTTGTGGTACAGAAATTTCCTTCAAAAGGAAACTACAACCACTGAACACCCTTTTTTGTTATTCTCTATGTAATTGAATGTGCTCACTTCTGAGACGCCATCAATATAGTATAGTGCAGATTCCCAGTCGTCAATAAAGCTAAAGCACTAAAACTAGCCCACCACCACCTAACTTTCTGTACAAGCACAGCAATAATGCGTATATATCATTCATCTTCCAAATTAATCATCCAAAATCTATGTGGCTATAGTTTACTTCACGTGATATATATGTCTATTAGGTTTTTTTATTTTTATATATATGGCTTTTCCAACTATTCAACTGCTACTATGTATATTATGGTTGTCATCTGAACAAATGTGGGAAATTTTGAGGTACTGTAGAGCAAACAAGTTACATATGAATATTCAAAATCTTATTGTCACTTACCTCCGAGCACTGGCCCTTCTGTTGTCCTGCGTTGAAAGTTTAAAGCCAGGTCATTACTCTACTACGCTAAACCGGAGTAGTTTTCCGGCTGGTTTTCTGTTCGGAGCTGGATCGAGTGCGTACCAGGTAGGCCATATTATTAGATATTATATGTATACTAATTGCATGATAAAGATTAAGAAAAAAAAAAAAAAAAGATCTATATGAATTTACTGATTTCATGCCACATTCTGTGTTTTTTCTTTTCTTTGTTTCTGTTTGAAGTACGAAGGAGCAGCACATGCAGATGGGAGGAAACCAAGTATCTGGGATACTTTTGTGATTGAAAATCCAGGTTTTTCTTTCTTGTTTTTCACTCGTAATGAGATGAGCGTTCTATATTACAATGTGTCTAATTTTATCCCAATCAGACCATTCGATTTATTCAATAATCCTTCATTGTTGGACTAATAGATCACACTAGTTTAAACTTTAAAGATCCGGTTGTATAACCAGAAATGATGTTTAGTGTCAAAGTTTAAAAAAATTATTTAAGAAATTGCATTTAAGGGGACTAAAGAAAAAAATTGAACAAATAAGGGGCCAAAATAAAAAATAACATTTACACGATGACATTGCCATCTTCATACGTGAAAGTGAAATCTTAAAGGATGCAGTCTGTTATAAAAAAGAAATATTTCTCTCACCCCCAATTTTCTGAACTTCACAGCGGGCCCCCTCGATTCCCAAACTCTGTGTCCGCCCCTGCCATGAACCTGAAGTATATTAATCCATGTGACCCATTTTTGTCTGTTCCTTTTTGCCTTGTTTCTCATGCTAATTTCATATATTATCAAGTGGTCTATATATGTCAAACAACTAACCAACTCAGCCAGTTGTTATTTAAAATAAGTAAAAGCATGAAATTAATTAATAAATTAATGTCACACTTTTAATAAAAATTTTCTTCAATAGATTTTTATGGTTTCTTTCAGCGTATTAAAACTATGCAATTCAAATTTCAGTCATGACGTTAGTGACATTGACATATATACTGTGATGACAGAAAAGATTTCGGACCATAGTACTGGGGATGTAGCCGATGAATTTTATTATCTCTATAAGGTATATATCTATGAGTATGAGCACAGTTAGTTACATATATAAAACCTCTTCTGGATTCTTTTTAATTTTCGTTTTGGTTCATCCTTATAAGCTGATAGTTGTAAAAATATTATGTTGCAGGAGGATGTTGGTCTGATGAAAGAAATTGGTTTGGACATATTCAGATTCTCCATCTCATGGCCTAGAGTATTACCAAGTAAACACCATATTAGGGTCAATAAAACCTTGTGCAATTAGCTGAATTCAGCTAATTGACCCTTTATCTAAATTGAAGCTTTTTTTTAGATGGAAAAATCAGTGGCGGAGTGAATTGGAAAGGTGTCGATTTCTACAATTCTCTGATCAATCAGCTCCTATCAAATGGTGTAATGTTGATCCATCTCCCTTATGCACGCCAACAATAACTCCTCATTTGCTCTGTCTTGATCTCAATCCCCTATTCATCTTCTCTACAATATTAATTTTTGAACAGGTATAGAGCCCTTTGTGACATTATTCCACTGGGATGTTCCACAGGCCTTGGAAGATGAGTATGGTGGATTTTTAAGCTCTGAAATTGTGTAAGTTAGAATAGTAATAGTGACAAAATCTATCTAATACAAGATACCAGGAATATATGCCAACTAATTACTTGTTAATAAATTGGTAAATAGGAATGATTTTCGTGACTACGCTGATTTCTGCTTCCAAGAATTTGGCGATAGAGTGAAGTACTGGATCACTTTGAATGAGCCAAATTTGTTTGGTAAAAATGGGTATGCAACTGGGTCGTTAGCCCCTGGTCGTTGTTCCAACTATATTGGAAATTGCACAGAAGGAAACTCTGCAACCGAGCCCTATCTAGTGACACACCACCTGATTCTTTCTCATGCAACTGCTACAAATTTGTACAGGCAAAGGTATCAGGTTAGTGCTTTACAAGGCTACCATTAGTCCTTGCCCATCCATGTTATGCTTTAATAATATTTGCTACAAATATTAGAATCGTGTACAATAAATCTCGATATCAAAATTCTTTCAGGCTTCACAAAAGGGAGCAATTGGGGTAATAGTAGGCACCATAGGGGAAGTACCTAAATATCAAACAGTTTCTTGCATAAAAGCTTCCCTGAGAGCTCTCGATTTTGGTGTTGGTTGGTGAGTTTGTTAGCACTTACGATCAATTTTATTTGAAAGATTCATCAATAAGAGTATCAACAATAATTTTCATTATTTGCATATTAGGATTCTTCATCCGATGACATTTGGTGACTACCCCAAGACTATGAGATATTTAGTGGGGAATAGATTGCCCAATTTCACAGATGAACAATCCATTTTGGTAAAAGGTTCACTCAACTTTGTTGGAGTGAATTACTATACTGCGAGATATGTTGAGGACTCTAATTCTAACAGTAGCCTCTTAAGTTACACAACAGATAGTCATGTTACATATTCCAGTAAGCTCAAAACCCGATGAACTCAATTAATATTGTATGTTGTTTTATCGTTTGCCTAATACAATTGCATATAATTGACTGATCTCTTGTTGCAGCCGAGAAAAATGGGATTCCTATTGGTGAACTGGTACACTTGTTTTTTTATTCTTCAAATATATGTGATGCCCTTTGAACCTTCCCCATTTTCAGTACTAAGCATATATATGATGTTACATTTATTTTTGCAGATAGGACCTAGTTGGCTTTACATGTACCCGAGAGGACTTCGAGATATTTCTCTATATATAAAGAAAAAATACAACCTTCCCATTTATATAACTGAAAATGGTAATTGGAAAAAAGAGAAAATAAATAAATATATATATAACTTATTTATTTCTCCTTACAATTTTTATATTTTTCAGGAATGGCAGACCCAAATAATATTTGGATACCAATTGATGAAGCCCTTAACGATGGCAAAAGAATAATGTACCATCAACTTCATCTATCATATCTCGTACAAGCTATCAAGTGAGTTCGACAATAGATTGAAAAAACAATACCTAATTACATACAAATAGACACAAAATCACAGACAAACCTATGCACATATGAATATTAATAAGCTTAAGTGATTTTGGCAGGAAAGGAGTTGATGTGAGGGGATACTCTGTATGGTCACTTCTCGATGGTTTTGAGTGGACATATGGGTATAGTGTTCGTTTTGGCTTCACTTATGTAGATTACAGTAACGGTTTGAAAAGATATCTCAAAAGCTCTGCTTTCTGGTATCAAAATTTCCTTCAAAAGAAAAATGCAACCCTGGATGATCACTCTTTATTGTTATTCTCTATGTAATTGGACATTTTTTTCAATCACTCATTTATGGAGAATTCAAACAAATAATATTTCAAGAATACTATATTAAGATTGATAGTCATGATCATTGTCTACATTATTTGAAATGTACATAATAGTATCAAAGACCATCCTTAAAAATTGATATATGATGAACTGGGCAATATGGCTATTCAGGCAAGAAGATTCATCTCATACCATTTACCATATTTAAGCTCAGCCACCATTGCTCTAAATTGTACCAATTCTAACGTTCTAAAGTCTCACTAGTCTATCCCAAAAGCTTCTTTCTCATATAAGCAACCCAAAGTGTTATAAACTTTCAAAACTTTGAGGTTCAATTAATTAAAGTGGGAAAGTCATGTGGTAAATTTGAAATTCTTACAGGTGGTTCATGATATTCTCCCATTATTCTATGGATATAAAGGAGACGCATGAAGCTAGATAACTGGCGCATCATATTTGGTAATCGATGTTTACAAAACTTTTTCATAAAAAAGGTATTCATACAGGGAAAAATATTTCTTCCAGCGTCACTTCATGAATTCTCGGTCACACTAGTGACTAGCTTGAATTTTATAAGACCATTGTGAGCAAACCAGCGAATTAAGGGTCAAAGTTGACTGGCACTGCTGGTGGTCAACAGTTCAATCATGTGCTTTAGGCTAGAACAGGACGATATGCAAAGCTAAAATCCAAGTTGCGGAAGGGCCATGAACTCAACAGTATACATCCCCATTCTTCAATAAAGCTAGAGCCTAAAAGCCCCATCACCATCCAACTTTTGTACAAAATAAGCAATTATGCATAATTATTCTTCTTCCAAATCATCCAAAATCATATATGGCTACAATCTATTACACGTCATATGTCTCAGATTACTTTTTTATTTACACAAACTCATCTATATATATGGCTTCTCCCAATTATTTAACTGCTAATAAATATGGTACGGTCGCATCTGAACAAAACTGGGAAATTTTGCGGTAGCTGAGAGCAAGAAAAATCAGATATGAAGATTCAACATCTTCTTGTCACCTACCTCCTAGCATTGACACTTCTGTTGCCCTGCATTGAAAGTTTAAAGCCATTTCAATACTCTGCTATGATAGACCGGAGTAGTTTTCCGGCTGGTTTTCTATTCGGAGCTGGGTCAAGTGCTTACCAGGTAGGCCATACTAGAACTATAATATATACTACATAAAATATGAATGCCAAAGAGCCAAAACATTATATCTATGTAAATTTGCTAATTGCATGCCACGTTCTGCGTGTTTTCTTTTCTCTGTTTCTGTTTGAAGCATGAAGGAGCTGTACATCTAGATGGGAGGAAACCAAGTATCTGGGATACTTTTGTGGTTGAAAATCCAGGTTTTTGTTTCTCGTTTTTCACTCATAATGAGATATGTATCACATTTGTGGCATTCTATTACAAGGCAATTAGACCCTTGGATCTCTTCAGAGACAATAGACAATGTTACCCCAACACAGAAACAATTCCCCAATTCCTGCCCTCATTCTTTATCTACCCATATGTAGAAACAGGCGGATTTATCCCAATACTTTTGAAATTCACCGCATTTTTATTATTTTTGGCTTCCAATTTGCTGATTTTCCGGACTCTGTCTCCTCCCTTGCCTGGAAGTATATCCATGTGACCCTTTTTTGTCCTTTCCGTGAATGGAGAAGTGGTCCATATATGCCAAACAACCAACCACTTGGCCAGCCGCCAGGTTTATTTAGGATTAGAAAAAACAAGGAATTAATGAATAAAAGTCGCACGCATTTAATAAAATGTTTCTATTTTCCTTTACATTGTTAAAACTATATATGCAATTCAAAATCAGTCATGGCACTAATTTGTGATGACAGAAAAGATTTCGGACCATAGTACTGGAGATGTAGCTGATGAATTTTACTATCTCTATAAGGTATATGAGTACAAGCATAAAGCCTCTTTATATTGTTTTTAGTTTTCCTTTTGGTTCCCCGTAATAAAAATGATTGATATAATAATATTATGGTCCAGGAGGATGTTGCTGCGATGAAAGAAATTGGTTTGGATACATTCAGGTTCTCCATCTCATGGCCTAGAGTCCTACCAAGTAGGTCCTAAACTTGTATATATTCCAATTGTTTTGTGGTTGCAGAAAACTGCTTCTTTTTATCTAAATAGATTTTTTGGCTTTTAGAGGGGAAAATCAGTGGGGGAGTGAATTGGAAAGGCGTTGATTTCTACAATTCTCTCATCAATGAGCTCCTATTAAATGGTGTAATATTGTTCCATCTCCCTCATGCATATAATTCATGGCTCCTATTAATTTGCTCTTCCTGATCTCCATGTTCCTCTGGCTCTCCTCTAAAATCATGATTTCTGAGCAGATATAGAGCCCTTCGTCACATTATTCCATTGGGATCTTCCACAAGCCCTGGAAGATGAATATGGTGGATTTTTGAGCCCTGAAATTGTGTAAGTTAGAATAGAGACTCTAGAAAAATCTATCTAATCCAAGATACCTGAAAATATATGCCATCTAATAACATGTTAATTGGCAAATAGGAATGATTTTCACGACTATGCTGATTTCTGCTTCCAAGAATTTGGTAATAAAGTGAAGTACTGGATCACTTTGAATGAACCAAATATTTTTAGTAAAATTGGCTATGCAACTGGAATCTATGCACCTGGTCGCTGTTCTAACTACATTGGAATTTGCACGGAAGGAAACTCTGCAACAGAGCCCTATTTAGTGACACACCACCTAATTCTTTCTCACGCAACTGCTGCAAATTTATATAGGCACAAGTATCAGGTTAGTGCTTTACAAATTTAGAATTAGTGCTTGTCCCTGCAACTTATGCTGTACTATATAATATGTTCTACAAAAAGTAGGACCATCTAAAGTAAATCTAAATATCAAAATCTATGTGTATTCTTGCAGGCTTCACAAAATGGAATAATTGGGGTAACAGTAGACACCATATGGGAAGTACCTAAATATCAAACCATTTCTGATAGAAAAGCTGCCCTGAGAGCGCTCGATTTTTACATTGGTTGGTGAGTTTGCTGGCCCTTAACTGGATCCTATGATCACTTGTTTTGAAATGATTCATCAATAAGAGTGTCAACAATAATTTTTGTAATTTGCTTAGGATTCTTCATCCAATGACATTTGGTGACTATCCCATGACTATGAGATATTTAGTCGGGAATCCACTGCCCAATTTTACAGGTTATAGAGTTCGTTTTGGTTTTATTTATGTAGATTACAGTAATAAGTTGAAAAGATACCTGAAAAACTCTGTTTTCTGGTACAAAAATTTCCTCCAAAAGAAAAATGAGACAATACATCACTCTTCATTGTTTTTCTCAATGTAATCACAAGTACTTTTCAATACAAAGAAGAATTTCAAACAAATAGTATCATATCAAGATTAATAGATGTGATCTGATAAGATAATTTAATTGGATGGTTAAATATATAATTTAATATTGAATTATTGATGAAAGGAAAGGACGATTTGTTATTACCAAGGCAGATTGATGGGGCCGGTGGGTGGGGGTGGCTTATCAAAATCTTATCTTTACATTTTTGTTTTCCAATATTTGCAAGCTGAAAATAACTTAAACTTTATATAAAATAAAACTTCTTTATAATTGTAACGATGACGTCAAACTAATTTATTATTACGAAGAGGTTATAAATTAATAAAGTTATTATTATAAAAGTTATTATTTTAATTTTGTATTTTTATAATTCACGTTTTAATAGTATGCATTAAAATTTCAATTTATTATTTTAGAAGTCATTACTGCAATTATAAAAGAAGAGAAATCAAATAATTCTGAGAATAATAGTAAGAAAATACAAAAACTTTCGTGTCAATAAGCTCTAAACATACTTGAAAAATTAGAAATAATTTAACTTCAGTAAGAAAATGTCCATACTAATGAGTTATTACGTACCCACAAATTAAAAGACGGGGTAACAACTTCAAAATATAAATTATTGTCCCAAACAACTTTAGATATATATTTTTTTTCATCTTAAACTTTTAATGTAAATAGTATATATTAACTTTTTTAAGATAAGAATGAAAAAAATTATAATTTATTATAATGTATAGTTTATTCTTATTTATAAGTATCCCAAATTGAGACTAGAATTTTTTATGATTATATAAAAGTTATTCTTATATAGAGTATCACTATAAACAAATTTTATTATATATATTATTTTAATACGGTTTTTTTATTTTACAAGAAACTGTAATTTGTTTAGTTTTTCGTGTCAGTATCCTCTGATTTCAGAAATCACGATCTAATTCTATGTTTGGCCTTTTTTTATAACGAGTAACCATTACTTTAAAAAATGTGATTATAACTCTCTTTTTTTTTTTTTTTTTTTTTTTAACGGATAGTTGATCTATTTAAATTTGAAGAAAAATGATGTTTTTATCAAAATATGTCATATATTTTTATGAAATTAAATTGATAAAATTGTTAACAAAATTTGAAGATTAAATTGATGGCATTTCTGAAATCAATAGATATTCACTATAAAAAGATCAAATATACAGGTTAACTCTGAAAAACAAAAAACATTTTAATGCTAATTTATAGTCTTACTGAAAACTCAATTATACAAACTCCGGTGACGTCAAAATCCAAGTAATAGATATTCCCAGGAAATGTCAAAAATCTTCTTTCAGGCTTTAAAATCGATTTTGACATCACTGTCAAGCATCTTTTAGACGAGCATAATTCATATCCAATCTTCAAAATGAAGTAATATATAACTATCAGTCTACCCCCCACATATATTAATGATATATTATTTACACACCTCTCTCAATATCTTATCAGTATCTATTCTCTGTCTGCTCCCATTATCTTTGTATAATTACATACTGCAACTGCTACAGGCGCTATTGTACTATTTATCTACAGCAGTTATCTTATCAAAGGGGAATATTTGGAGGTAGCTGAGGCCTGAGAGAAAGAAAGTCAAACATGGAGATTCGATATCTTGTCTCCTGTGTACTAGCCCTGGACCTTTTGTTGTCCACCACTGAAAGTTCAAACCCATTTCATTATTCTACTAAGCTAAACCGGAGTAGTTTCCCGGCTGGTTTTCTATTTGGAGCTGGATCAAGTGCTTACCAGGTAAACCATACTACACAAATATGGGATTCTTGACAAGATTTCTCGTACTATATAACAATATGCATTCACATTCTGTGTTTTCTTTTGTCTGTTAATTTCAAGTATGAAGGAGCAGCATATGCGGACGGCAGGAAAAGAAGTATCTGGGATACTTTTGTAATTGAAAATCCAGGTTTCTTTTGTCTTCTCTCATTATGAGATATGGTATATGTGACTGCGTTTAAGCCACAAAACACCCTCCATGCGGCCCTTGTCTCCTTTTACCTTGTTTCTTATGCTAGTTTTTCATAAATATTCTTAGAATGGTCCATATATGCCAAACAACCAATTCTTAATCACTTGTGCGGTTTTATTTGGGAATCAAGAAAAGTTTCATGTTATATAGTAAATAAAATTTTACTTCAATGTGTTTTTGTGGCTTTCCTTTACACTATTAAACTATGCATTTCAATTTTTCAACTTTATGACAGAAAAAATTGCAGATCATAGTACTGGGGATGTAGCCGATGAGTTCTATTATCTCTGTAAGGTAGANTGGTATATGTGACTGCGTTTAAGCCACAAAACTCCCTCCATGCGGCCCTTGTCTCCTTTTACCTTGTTTCTTATGCTAGTTTTTCATAAATATTCTTAGAATGGTCCATATATGCCAAACAATCAATTCTTAATCACTTGTGCGGTTTTATTTGGGAATCAAGAAAAGTTTCATGTTATATAGTAAATAAAATTTTACTTCAATGTGTTTTTGTGGCTTTCCTTTACACTATTAAACTATGCATTTCAATTTTTCAACTTTATGACAGAAAAAATTGCAGATCATAGTACTGGGGATGTAGCCGATGAGTTCTATTATCTCTGTAAGGTAGATGAATAATACTCTGCCTCGTAAAGACCTCTTCAAACAGAAAAGAAACGAATTCCCCCTAATAAAATGATTGAAATATAATATGTTGCAGGAGGATGTTGCTCGGATGAAAGAAATTGGTTTAGACTCATTCAAATTCTCCATCTCCTGGCCTAGAGTAATACCTCGTAAGTCCAACCTAAATCAAATTCCATAAACCATAATCAATTTGCTAAAATTCAACTTGCTCTCTAATTGCCACTGGTACTATCTTGAACAACGGAAATTTTGTTTTAGAGGGAAAACTCAGTCGAGGAGTGAATTGGGAAGGTGTCAAATTCTACAATGATCTCATCAATGAGCTTCTATCGAACGGTAAAATGTGCTTCTTCTTTGATCATCTCTACCTCCCTCTCCCTCTTCTCTAACATCTTGCGGTTTGAGCAGGTATAGAGCCCTTCATCACATTGTTCCACTGGGATCTTCCACAAGCCCTGGAAGATGAATATGGTGGATTTCTGAGCCCACAGATTGTGTAAGTTACAATACACCTGTAACCCAAATCTTTCTAATCCAACATACCTGAAAATATATGCTCTGGCAATTGTAAACAGAGATGATTTTCGCGACTATGCAAATTTCTGCTTCCAAGAATTTGGCGATCGAGTAAGGTACTGGATCACTTTGAATGAGCCAAATTTATTTAGTAAAAGTGGGTATGCAACCGGAGAGTATGCACCCGGTCGTTGTTCCAACTATATTGGAAATTGCACAGAAGGGAACTCTGGAACAGAGCCCTATATGGTAACCCACCACCTGATTCTTTCTCATGCAACTGCCGCAAATTTATACAGGCACAAGTATCAGGTTAGTGCGTTACAAGGGTACAAGTAATACTTGTCCATCCATGTTATGCTCTGATTGTTATGAATTTTTCAAAATTGCAGGCTTCTCAAAAGGGAATAATTGGGCTAGCAGTAAGCACCAGATGGCAAGTACCTAAATATCAAACAGTTTCTAGCAAAAAAGCTGCCCTTAGAGCTCTCGATTTTTTTGTTGGTTGGTTAGTTTTCTAGCCCTTGATATGATCCTTTGATATATTGCTTTACATCAGATTTGGCAATATGAAGATTATCTCCCATAATCTTTATGATTTGCTTAGGATTGTTCATCCAGTGACATTTGGTGACTACCCGAAGACCATGAGAGATTTAGTTGGGAATCGATTGCCCAATTTCACAGCTGAACAATCTGTTTTGGTAAAAGGTTCTCTCGATTTTCTAGGAGTCAATTACTATACTGCAAGGTATGCAGAAGACTCTAATACTAGCAGCATCCTTCTAAGTTACACAACAGATAGTCATGTTAACGAGACCGGTAGGCACAAAAAACTGACAAATTTAATTTCTTTTGTCTAATATAATTACATATAATTGTGTTTATATCTTTTAACCAATATAATTGACTTGTTGCAGTTGAGAAAAATGGCATTCCTATTGGTGAACTGGTACTCTTAATTTTTTCTTCTTTTAACATGTCATTATTCAAGCTAATGTGTAAATTGATCATATTTACCATTTATATGGAACATATCATGTTACATTTTTTGCAGACAGGAGCTAGCTGGCTTTATATGTACCCGAAAGGAATTCGAGAAATTGCAATGTATATAAGAAAAAGTACAACCTTCCCATGTATATTACTGAGAATGGTAAAAAAAAAAAAAAAAAAGCAAAATGGAAAAAAAAAAAAAAAAAAAACAACTTAATTAGTTGTTGATGAAATATGTCATACTTTTCAGGAGTGGCAGATGCAAATAATGTTCATTACCAGTAGATGAGCTCTGAGAGATAGCTTGAGGATAACATACCATCAACTTCATCTGTCATATCTCCTACAGCCAAGTTAGTTCAGCATTTCATTAGAATTATTTTCCTATTTAAATTCTTTTTTTCTCTTAATTCATTGTATTCATATTTAAAGGGGAGAAAATAATAAATATATTATCATATATACAATGTTGAAGAGAATCACACAAGTGCACATGTAATAAGTTTTGAATTGATTACTAATATAATTATCTCCATCTTCCCTCTCATCCGAATTGTTCTTAATCTATGTCCAATCATCAGCGTCTCAACTTACGTAAAAAACTAGATTATTATAGGTTGACCTTCATGATTATATTATATATATACTAATAAAAGCTCAATGAACTTTTACAGGAAAGGGGCTGACGTTAGGGGATATTCTGCATGGTCATTGCTTGATGACTTTGAGTGGAAATCAGGTTATACTGTTCGCTTTGGTTTCATTTACGTGGATTTCAGCAAAGAGTTAAGAAGATACCTCAAAGACTCTGCTTTTTGGTATAAAAATATCCTTCTAAAAGAAAATACTGCCATCAATTGCTCTTCTTTGTTATTCTCTGCGTAATTGAACATATCTATGTAGATCATGTATTTACAATTTTAAATAAAAAAAGGGAAATCCTAGATTACATTTATTGGAATGGGATTTTCTTGGGTTTAGTTATCATACTGATACATACGACTTGTTGGAGGTTTGGTCTATATTCAAACTTTAACAATTAATCCTCCTTAAAACCTCAAGAGATCTCCTTGTAATTAGCAAATGTGAAACTCAGGCACATGAAAAAGTGAACCTGTAATTTGCTGTGTTTTGCACGAAAATCCCACCAACCGATTTAAATATATTTATATTGTATCTTAACCTATTCACCGACCGAAAAATTATTGAATTGTTATAAAATAAATAAATAAAATATAAAACGCTCAAGTTGCAAGCGAATATTATTTAAATATATCTTATATACAAACTTATGTATGTATAGTTTGGTAATGAATTAAAGGTCATTGAAAATGTCAAAATTTTAAGTTAAGGGTTTTTAAAAAATAACCAAAACTTTGAGGGGCTATAAATGTTAACCTAAATCCTAGACCCTACACCCATATAGCCAACTTTTTTAATATAAATACAAAAATACCCTCATCCCTAACCTTCAAATGCTTAACCAACTCAAATCCCATTTTTTTCACTATCAATTTCAAACTCTCACACCATAATGACAATCAACTATCAAGCTTGCAAAAAGACTTAGGAAATCACTACATCAAGGTAACACCTCGATCTTAACTTAAAATCCATATATTGTTACATTTGTGCACAAGGGTGTTTGTGAGGAATTTTGTTTGATTCTTATAATTGTTTACATTGATAGTTAATGGGACTACTATTGTTAGAGGTTTTTGTGAAATAGTTGTCTAATATACATTGCGTTTTCACAACAAAAAAGATAATGCGTTGCATTTCTCATGGGCTAGTGATAGGGAGAAAAAACGATACTTAGGGTTTTTTTCCCAATTCGCATGGATTGTCACGCGAGCTAGAGTATCATATACATGAATCTCTAGTTCACGTGAAATTTCAAGCTAACTGAGGAAAACCACGTGACTTGCATACCATGTCACGCTAACCCTTAAAAAATTTTAGTGTTTCATCAAGTTTGTTAATTGGAATTGTTTTATGTTTATCGTAGGATTCATTTAAATGGAGGATGTGGTTGTTTTGGTTGGTTACGGAGGGCAATGGAAAACTATGAACAGTAACACAATGAATTATATTGGAGGAAAACAGAAAATGCTTCAAATCCATAATGATATCACTTATATATGATGGGTTGGTTGAGTTGTCAAGCGAACAATCAAGTATTGACCATAGAAGGAATACTATCAGGTGATCTTTTTAGGATAGTGTTAACCTATTGCATGCGGCTATTATATACACATGTGATCTAAATCTTAAGTCTTTAAGTTATCTTAAGTTCCAAAAGTTAGGTGAATGTACATTTAATAGTCAAGGTTTCCTCTTTACATTTGATTACTCAATATAATCCCACATGATGTTTCAAAGTCAAATCGAGTGAACTAAATACTTTAATTTATCTATAAATTTCTAAATTAAAATCGTCTAATCACATAAATATTGTATGTTCTTTTAGGCTTGTCGAAAAGGTTCCCTCGTCATTGTGATTTGTCAGAAATATAAATGTTTCAAAGTTACACAACAAAAAATCATATTAATTATATTGTATTTCTATATAGACGGATCTACTGTCGCAATATATCCAAGCTTTTGCTATGGCGTATTGGTATATTTATAAGCCTCTCGTTTGGCCTATTTCCACCCTTATTTAATAGTAAATGAATATTAATTTATTCAGATTAGACTATCAACTTCATTGTGATATTGGATTTAAAGTTATCCATTCATTAATAATAAGATAATGAATTGTAGAATTGACAAGTACACTTACTATTTTAATAACCTTCTCACAGTTATTGAATTACAAAGCTATCCTATTATAAAAAAATCAAATTAAGAAATTAAATCAATATATTTAGTTTAACCCTAAGTATGGTTTTAAAATATAAATGCACTTTATGTTTGGTTTAAACAAGTGGTCTTAGAAGTCCAAATATTACTTCTCAAAATGGAATAGGTCTTATTAACAAATAATAATTAAGTCAGAATATAGGAGTCCACTTGTCTAGCTATATTAGATAAGGTTATTTAACAGCTAGTTTAAACCAATTAGGCAAAACTAAACCACGTGTATCTTGTATGTTTACACAAGTAATTGAATATTTTGTTGAGAAAATATTAAATAATGAGGGTTCTGGTGTTGAACTTTTTACTGTTTAGCTGATGCATGCATTAGACAATATCAATCATCATTTTTAAATCACAATCAATTCTTATTCAATAGGATTATAATTTTAATATTGCTAGAGGAATAGCCTTAATCTTATTCAATAAGATTACCAATTTGATTTTGATGAAGCAACAGTTTCATTCAATCTGGTGTATGGAAAATATGAATTATGAAAAAGGAAATACTCAATTGTTTCTTCTTCATTATAAATTAAGAAATGCTATCTTTAATGCATGTAAGAGCAAAAAATAACAAATTTCTTAGTGATCTACTTCAATAAACTCCGGATTGAATAAATTAACTTAGATTTAATTTCTGGCATCAACAACCTGTGTTAAACCATGTGTTCAGAATGTTCAAACAAGAGATTTAAATAACATTTGACTAGTAGGTTTTTTGAAAGATGCCTATATTATATTGTCTACCCCTCCTGTAAGCTACAAAGGGAGAAATGAAAATTCAACATCTTCTTGTCATCTACCTCCTATCCCAGACCCTTTTGTTGTTCTGCATTGAAAGTTTAGAGCCATGTGATCAATCCTCAACAACGCTAAACCGGAGTAGTTTTCCGGCTGGTTTTCTATTCGGAGCTGGATCAAGTGCTTACCAGGTAAGCCATACTACACATATATATCCGATTCTTGACAAGAGTGGTCATACCTCCTATATGCATTTACTAATTGCATTCACTTTCTATGTTAATTTCAAGTATGAAGGAGCAGCATCTGCAGACGGCAGAACAAGAAGTATCTGGGATACTTTTGTTTTCGAATATCCAGGTTTCTATTAATTGTCTTTCTTTCATAAATAAAACGTATTCCATGTGGCCATTTTTGTTCCCTTTTACCTTGTTTCTAGTGCCACTTTCATAAATTTTCAGACAATAAATTCTTTATCACTTGCCGTTTTATTTGGGGAACGAAAAATCGTGTAATCAAACAAAACTTTCTTATTTGTAAACAAAACTTTTTATTATTTTCTTTTACACTAGGTAATTCAATTTTCCGTAAGGATGACTTTTGAGACAATGTGTATTCATTTTTTGACGGGCGTTATGACAGAAAAAATTGCGGATCATAGTACTGGGAATGTAGCAGAAGAGTTCTATTATCTCTATAAGGTATATCAATAATACTCTCCCAATATAAGACCTCTTCATTCGTTTTGACCCTTTACTACAATGATTAAAATATATTATGTTCCAGAATGATATTGCTCTGATGAAAGAAATTGGTTTAGACTCATTCAAATTCTCCATCTCCTGGTCTAGAATATTACCTCGTAAGTTCACTACAAATCAAATGGAACTTTAATCTTTTTAAAGAGGGAAAGCGGTACCATCTTGATGAACGGAACTTTAATTTGTTGTAGAGGGAAAAATCAGTCGGGGAGTGAATTGGATAGGTGTCAAATTCTACAACGCTCTTATCGATGAGCTCCTATCAAATGGTACCATTTGCTCCTTCTTTATCGTCTTCATCTCTCCCTCCATCTTTTTTAAGATCTTGTGTTTTGAGCAGGTATAGAACCTTTCGCCACAATATTCCACTGGGATATTCCACAAACCCTGGAAGATGAATATGGTGGATTTTTGAGCCCTGATGTTGTGTAAGATAGAATATACAGACCATTGGCTTAAATCTATCTATTAATCCAACATACCTGAAAACTTATGCCCTGGAAATTGCAAATAGGGATGATTTTCGCGATTATGCTGATTTCTGCTTCCAACAATTTGGCGATAGAATAAAGAATTGGATTATTTTGAATGAGCCAAACTTATTTACTATGTATGGGTATGCGCTTGGAGATTGGGCACCTGGTCGCTGTTCCAACTATATAGGAAATTGCACAGAAGGAAACTCTGCAACAGAGCCCTATTTAGTGGCACACCATCAGATTCTTTCACATGCAACTGCTGCGAATTTATACAGGCACAAGTATCAGGTTAGTGCGACACAAGGGTAGAATTAGTACTCGTCCATTCCATCCAAGTTATAAAAAGGAGGAAATCATGATTGTGATATGTTTGCAGGCTTCTCAAATGGGAAAAATTGGGTTAGCAGTAAGTACCATGTGGTTCGTACCTAAAGATCAAACAATTTCTAGCAGAAAAGCTGCCCATAGAGCTCTCGAGTTTTATGTTGATTGGTAAGTTTAGTAGGTCTTATGTGGACCCTTCGATCAATTTTATTGAAATGATTCATCACTTCCAAACGGTTAAATCTAGACTTGGCAATATTCTAAATTGAACAATTTGCTTAGGATTGTTCATCCATTGGTATTTGGTGACTACCCAAAGACCATGCGATATTTAGTGGGGAATCGGCTGCCCAATTTCACGGCTCAACAATCTATTTTGGTGAAAGGTTCCCTCGATTTTCTCGGAGTAAACTATTATACCGCGAACTATGCAGAAGACTCTAATACTAGCACCATCCTTCTGAGTTACACAACAGATAGTCATGTTAACTGTTCCGGTAAGCTCAATACATGTTGATCATGATCTTTCTTTTTAATTAAATATTAATTGTGTCTATCTTTTGACGGATATAATTACATACTATTCTTGACTGACTTCTTGTTGCAGGTGAGAAAAATGGGATTCCTATTGGTCAACCGGTACCTGTTATTCTTTTAATATCTTATGCATGTTCATATATACATATATATATGTACAATATTTATATGAACGACGTCGTCTTAAACTTTTTGCAGACAGATGCTAGCTGGCTTTTTATATACCCGGAAGGAATTCGAGAAATTACACTGTACATAAAGAGAAAATACAACCTCCCCATTTATATTACTGAGAATGGTAAAAAAAATAAAAGAGAAAAAGAAAAATAAGACAAATAAACCTGAATGAGTTGTTGTTTGAAATCTTTTCATGCTTTTCAGGAGTGGCAGAGTCAAACAATTGTTCAATAACAGTAGATGAAGCCGTCAAGGACGGCATAAGAATCGAATACCACCAACTTCATCTATCATATCTCCTACAAGCTATCAAGTGAGTTTGGAAGAGAAAAAAAACTTTAAATGAAAATGTTGCAGTCATGCTATTCATGTTCATTAATTATTTATATTAATATATGCTCCATTGATTTTTGTAGGGAGGGTGCTGACATTAAAGGATACTCTGTATGGTCATTACTTGATGACTTTGAATGGGCAGATGGTTACACTTATCGTTTTGGCTTCATTTACGTGGATTACACCAACAAGTTGAAAAGATATCTCAAAGATTCTGCTTTGTGGTACAAAAACATTCTTCAAAAAGAAAATGCAACCACCGAGCACTCTTCTTCGTTATTGTCGTCGTAATTCAACATACCATTCTACATGATTATATACAACTTCAAATAAGTAATTTATAAAGAAATTTTACAGTGCAATGTAATTGTATTTATATGTATATGTAAATCATGCATTTACAAATGGATCCATAGACGCGCACAAAATAATGGGAGCCCAAGTGTGGGCTTATTATTTTTACAGCTATAGCGTCAACATCTGCTCATGATTCTGATAACAACCATCTTATATATTAACAGCTCACACCTTCTTCATACCCTTCAACTAATTCAACAATGTTAATTCAAGTCATTTAGCCTCATATTTATTATTTAATTATCGTATAAACAACGATTAGTTAAATTAGACCGTCATTGCATCGGGTCTGGTGTGTTGAAAGAGTGGATCTAAAATTATATTTAAACTGGAATTGGATGAACAGCTTGGTTTGAATATACAAAGTCATGGCAAGCTAGCCCCATGGCACACGCTATATTCAATACTGAAAGCCCCATGGCACACGCTATATTCAATACTGAAAAAGACCACAATTGCATATAAAATACCGTATGCAATGCCGTGAAGAATGGTTTTGGAATCGGTGAGGGGTCGATGATAGGTGAAGTACAGCTTACATGTTTGAACGTGGGCACTTATATATATATATAATCTAGTTGACATTTTAGAGTAAGTAAAATCAATAGCAGAAATTACCTAAATATGCTGAAGGTATGAATGTAAATTCAGAATCGGCTCAAGAGAATATTAAGTCTAAGGCACAATAACTTTAATTTAAACAAAATATATACATATATATGTGAAGATCTTTTAGTTTTAAGTTAAGTAGACTTGTTCAATTTATTTAAAAGCTAGCTTGAAAACTTCAGGCAGAATATTGAAGTAGATATTTTAAAGTAGAACTGGATAAAGAAGAATGATATAATCTTTTAAATGTGATTAAATAAAAATCCTAATCTTTTAAGTGACCTTTTGGAGGAAACAAATACTCATTTAATTAAAGTAATATTAAAAAATGTTTTAATTAAGAGATTAAAATGAAAACACTAATATTAATACTACTAATATTATTAACTTGGGGTCTTAAATCCAGGCAAGGGTAGGCCTAAAGTAGTTGTCTTAGTTATCAACCCTGTTGAGTCCGCATTGGCACTCATGTTTATCTCTAAACTTTAAAATAGACAAGGTTTACTTCTTGTTCTTGAACTTTGACATCTTCTATTTTGATAAGTATTAAGTATTTCCTGAAATCTCAAAATTACATATATCCTATCTTTCAAATGGATTTTCATATCTCTAATCTAACATTTTTAATTTGCATGAGTACCTACCAATCATATCCTATCTTCCAAATCACTTGAAAGTAATATACACCTAACATTCTACAAATAAATACACACATATACATATTATATATGATATATCTACTCCTAATTAATTAGATAATTAATTAACTATTCTTTTCTGCTAATGATATTGGTAATATTGCTACTATATATGTTATGGTCGTTATCTTGTGTAAAGGGGACAATTATTGGAGGTAGCTGAGAGCAAGAATAACAGATATGAACGTTCAACATCTTCTTGTCACCTACCTCCTAGTACTGACACTTTTCTTGTCCTGCACTCAAAGTTTATACCCATTTCATTATTCTACTATGCTAAACAGGAGTAGTTTTCCGGCCAGTTTTCTATTCGGAGCTGGATCAAGTGCTTACCAGGCAAACTATCCTACACACACACACACACACATATATATATATGCGATTCTTGACAAGCATTTGCTAATTGTATTCACTTTTTGTGATTTCTTTGGTGTGTTAATTTCCAGTATGAAGGAGCAGCATATGTAGACGGGACAACAAGTAGTATCTGGGATACTTTTGAAATTAAACATCCAGGTTTCTTTTGTCTTTCTATCATAATTATAGTTTATATATTTATAATTTATGTGGCTTCCCCTCAGGCACAAAACACCCTCCATATGACAAACTTTGTCCGGTTTCACCTTGTTTCTGGAGCTAGTTTCATAAATTTCGGATCATACTACTGGGGATGTAGCAGTGGAGTTCTATTATCTCTATAAAGTATATGAATGAATACTCTGCCACTATAAACACCTCATTCGTTTGACCCTTCAATGAAATGATTATAAACATATTATGTTCCTGGATGATGTTGCTCTGATGAAAGAAATTGGTTTAGACCCATTAAAACTCTCCATCTCATGGTCTAGAATTTTACCTTGTAAGTTCCGCATAAATCAAATTCCACAAACCATAACCAATTAGCTAGTATTCAACTTGTTCTGTAATTCGGGGGAACCGACACCATCTTATAAATGGAACTTTAATTTTGTTGTAGAGGGAAAACTCAGTCGGGGAGTGAATTGAGAAGGTGTCAAATTCTACAATGATTTCATCAATGAGCTTCTATCAAACGGTACCATTTGCTCCTTCTTCATCGTCTCCATCGATCTGCCCTTCCCTCTTCTCTAACATCTTGCGTTTTGAGCGGATAACTTTGCCACACATGTTAAAAATTAGAATATGCTCTAATACCATCTTAGAAATTGGAGTTAAAAAATAAGCTAAAGAACAGCAACAATATGACAATAATATCACACACATAAACACGATACTAGTGCGTATAACATCATCAACCTAGTACTTAAGCGGGAACTCTACCCGATGGTGTTTTATCAGTACAACACATCAACCCATTATATAGGCGTGTGGATATTTTATTCCTATTGTATTTAATACCCTTTTCACATGTCGTGTTTCTCACATTCTCTCTTTTCTAATGATCACTTCTCTCGTAACCTTAAATTAATTCTAACCCTTTTATTTATAAGTAAAATAGGATATATTTTTTTCTATTATGATTCATATTTTAAATTCTGATAAGACTTCTCTAATTTAATTCATTCTCCTATTTTAATTCAAAATAAAGTCTTTAACCAATTATTCTTTCCCAATACAACTCATAATAAAAGAAAAACAAATATTCTACAATATAAACTCCTAAAATAAAAATTTACCTAAAACTAAAATTTTCTTAAAAATCTTCTTCAACTACAAAAAACGTGTTCACATTCTAACACCAATATTCCACTGGGATCTTCCACAAGTGCTGGAAGATGAATATGGTGGATTTCCGAGCCCACAGACTGTGTAAGTTAGAATAGACCCGTAAACCCAAATCTGTTCTGATCCAACATACCTGAAATTGTATGCCTTGGCAATTGTAAATAGGGATGATTGTTCGCGACTTTGCAGATTTCTGCTTCCAACAATTTGGTGATCGAGTAAAGTATTGGATTACTTTGAACGAACCAAACTTGTTTACTATGTCTGGGTATGCGATTGGAGATTGGGCACCTGGTCGTTGTTCCAACTGTATTGGAAATTGCACCGAAGGAAAATAAAAAACAAAAAAATATATAAAAAAAAAAAAACAAAAACTTAAAAAAGCAAATTTATACAAGCACAAGTATGAGGTTAGTGCGTCACAAGGGTACAATTAGTACTAGTCCATCCCATCTAAATTGTCAAATGGAAGAAATAATGATTGCCATATCTTTGCAGACTTTCCAAATGGGAAAATTTGGGTTAGCAATAAGTACCACATGGTACGGACATAAATATCAAACAATTTCTAGCAGAAAAGCTCTCGAATCTCGATTTTCATACTGTTTGGAAAGTTTATTAGATCTTAATTAAATCCTCTGATCGATTTAATCTAGACTTGGCTATATTCTAAATTGAACAATTTGCTGACTTTAGGAGATACTCTGTATGGTTATTTCTTGATGACTTTGAGTGATTATTAGGTTACACTTATCGTTTTAGCTTCATTTTGTGAAATATAACAACAGGTTATAAAAGATATCTAAGAGACTTTGCTTTGTGGTAGAAAAATATCCTCCAAAACGAAAGTGTTACCATTGATAACTCTTCTTCGTTACTCTCTATTTAATTCAACATATAATTTAATGTACCCATTTATAAAGAGTTTCAATTAATTAAAGTATATAATTGAAAATTTATAATACTGTAATTGAAAACTTATAATACTGTAGAGTAATTCTATTGTGGGGAGAACAACATTTCCCCACCCAAGGTTTGGCGAAACGACACTTTTCCACTGTTCAAGTTTCAAAATAACACTTTCCCACCATTCGTTAGGTTCTGTTATGTTTTCCTTTAATATTTTACTGAAAAGACAAAAATACCCTTAAATATTTGATTTTATAAATTTTTTATTTTTTTTAATTAGTCAAAAAAGAAAAAAAAATAGTTAGCCTCACCTAAAAGGTTTGGAATAATGCTATAGAATTGTTTAAAGTTAAATGATCTTAATATTTATTTATTTATAATGTCATCTATATCTCATCACTATTATTTAATAATCTACTAAATTTATAATGTTTTTCATAATATAATGTTTTTCATTTTTACTAATTAACATAGAAAAATAGCATTCTTAATTAATTAAATAAACAAAGGAAAAAAAAAAATATTTACACTTGAACTAATAAATAATCAAGTAAAAACTTTGATTTAACTAAATTTTAATTTATAATAAACTAATAAGAAATAAACTATTTAAGGGTATTTTTGTCTTTTCAATCAACTATTAACAAAACTTGACAAAGGGTGGGAAAGTATTAGGGTGTAAATATTGTAGAAGACAAGAACAATCAATGTAGGAAGAAAAAGAAAACAAGCAAATTTGCAACAGATCAAATTTGCTCTAATATCATATTAAGCTCGAGAAGAAGAAGAGTTGAGAAGAAGAAAGAGAAGAAAGAATAATCTGTTTTTATTAAATGTAACAAATCAGAAACCAGCTATATAAATAGCCACTATTAAAATGAATTAATTATAATAAAAAGCGTAATTAGAAAGCTAACTAATTAATTAATCTGAAGATTAACAACTAATCATTATTTACAATATTTATACCCTAATAAAAAGAATCATTTTGAAACTTGATAAAAATGTCGTTCTCCCTTCTATTGTGATTCCAATCCGTAAAAAACTCAAGACCTTACTTTAATTAATTATTTAATGTGATGTGAGACATGGCAGAAATTTCGG